GGCCTGGGTTCTATTTCTAAGGATGTTCCTCTGAGACAGTGGACAAGATGGCCGACTTCCGGCACTTGGGACATCACACAGCACCGGGAATGGGAACAAACCTCACTGTGATGTCTGTGTGACCCCTGACTCTTCCTACAGTTCAATGGAGCGTCAAACTTTTCTATCCTCAATTCTCAAATGATGGCCATATTTCATGAGTTTTAAAATTTTTCATTATACATTTGAAGTATACCCACCAATTTCTCAACTGTTCTATTAACTCTCTCATGTCAGTAAGAATTTGTGGTTTGTGAAGCAAGGATTAAATTTAGAGGCTGGTTATTCACTCCTGATGCTGATTCTACATTCAACTCTCTCACTTCCCAAAGTCTTCCGAGTGATTTACTCAGAAGGCAGCAGGAGGGAGGGAAAGGACAGTCTGCAGGAAGTCAAATGGTCTAGCTATACCCCTCAGGCTTGCCCCTGGTGACCATAGTTCCCTCAGGTGGATACTAATCCTTTTTAAATTAGATAATACAGGGGAAAGAGCTTACCATTGTTCTGGAAGACAGGAGTTAAACCTGTTTATTTTTGCTTACTCAATGGAGCCAAATTGTCAAGAGCTTGAATTTAGTATAACTTTCCTTCTACGCTTTCCAAAGGAAGTTTTCAAAGAGTCGCTAGACTATTTTTGTGTTAACTTTATTTTACATGACAAGAATAAAATTACTACTCTAAATAGCTAGCTGCATAGGCATTAACCTCAGGCCAAGCACAAAGCTTGGTGACTACCAGGTGTTCACCGATTGGATACCCTTTTACATTAACCTTCGAAATAGGTGGTGTCTTATAGACAAGGAACCTGAGCTTCAGAGAAGTTAAATAGCTGGCCCAAAATTTCACAGAAGGAAGCAGAATGGCCAGAATTCAAACCCAGATCCAGATGTTCGAGCCTGTGTTCTTAAACCGACTCCACCTCCTGCCTGTGGAGGAGAAACGCTGCTACCTCAGCTTCCTCCTCCTCCCTCCCCTCCTCTGTTCCTAATTCTCTTGCCCCTGGTCCCTGCAGGCATAGAGACACATCACCTCACTGCAGGTCCCAGCACCACGCTGCCTGCCAGAGCATGGCTTAAGTGCAGGTTCATGGAGGCCTCCAGATTAGGCCTCCTGGTTCACTGAGTAGGAGTAGATCGCTGGACCCACTACTACCACCATTACATAGTCCTACTATGACTCCCACTACTGTTCAACAGCCCTTTCTTCCTCTGCAGTGCCTTGTGTGTTTTTCCATCATGTGGACCTCAAAGAAGGGAAGGTGACTGGCAGAGAAGGAGCTGGATATCCTTGGGTGCACGGGCCACATACTACCAGTACCACATAGCTAGAAAGTAGAAAATCTAGAGCATAAAGAAGACGGGAACATGCATGGATGGTGGGAGACTGTCCACAGCAATGACTAGTGCAACAGGACATTGGACTGCTGATCCAGCTGAGTCTGGCCCACTGCTTTACGAGGTAAGAGGATACTTTCAGGGACTTGTTAACAACCACTAACAATTCCCTAAGGGGAAGGGTCCTGGGGAAGCAGCCAGAGGCCTAACTTTGTGTCTTGGGCAACCTTTGGTTGTATGCAGATTACTTACCATGACAACAATTTTTTTGTTCAAAACCAAAGAGAACAGAATATTGTCAACTGAAGGTGACTGATATTTGCCCTGGCAAATACCACCTTACAGATGTTACAAGGGGCAAGTATGACTCTTCTTGTTTCCCCTTCCAGGGACAACTGAAAAAGATGACACCAACTGCATCTCCGAAGCAGTACTGTGCACAGAATCCTTGCCATGACGTAACTACTCTCCCTGAAAATGAGGCACTACTCTCTTCTGAGAGCAAAAAAGATCTCCCAGATGGTTCCAAAGGAGGGTTCTCTCTAAATCCAAGAGATTCAGAGGGTGAGTGAGGGTCTCCTGGTGCATGTTTTATAGTCTTCAAATGCTATCACAGAGAGAAAGTAAGAATCAACCTTTTCCTTTTTGTCATCACTGTGGATAGCCATGCCGCTCTGGAGGTGGGCGGAAAGGGAATTCTGGAGTCAGGATGCTCACTTCTGTTTTTGTTTTGGCCGGATATAAGAGGTCTCAAAGTTACCAGGACCCAACGGAGACAACTTACAATGATGTCGTGTCTGGTTTTGAAAGTGCTGATGTAATGGCTGTAGTGGTTGTCGTCCATCTGCCGCAGGATGGCAATCATACACGCAACAAAGCTCCCCTGGAAGGACAGAAGAGACACAAAGCCAACAGTCCTGAGGCCCCCAGATGCCAAAACAAGATCTGTGCACGGGGACTTTGGCTGTTGCCACCCAATTACCAAAACAGGGACCCTGCCAACCTGGAAACATTGTGCATTCCAAAGGCTAAAAGGCACACACTTTGCTGTTTCTGCTTAAAATAACCTCCTTCCAGGTTTGAGTTAAGGAATGTGGCGGGCTTTGCTCAGACCTTTAACAGTATGACCTGCAGAATCCTGTAGGTCAGCGGACATGGGCTCTGAGATCTCAGCTAGATCACTGGTTAGAGTACAACGACTTGGGGGACATGGAGTTTCTTGTTGAGACAGAGTTGTAGTCCATGAAGAAATGTCTGAAATAGCACAGATTTAATTTTGGAGGAATGCAAGGAGGAAAAAGAGATCGTAAAACTGAGCACAAAGAGCAGAGAGACAGGGAAATGAATACTCCCACCTACAGCACTTCAATGTCATTCTTCCAATTCCAGAATCCTTCAGTCAGTTCCTGCCAGCATGTTATGCGTGTGTGATTACAGATGGGTTTTGAAGAAAGGGACTGAAGGGCTTGATGATTAGCATCAAATTATATTTTTGAAGTCAGGCATTACATATTCAATGTGCTTTCCCCTTGTCCAATCACATTTGAATCACACACTTGATTTTCTGGCCAAAGGGCAAATATCTAGGGGGAACGCCCTCTTTATTTATATAGTTATTTAAATGAATTGGCATTGAGATGAATATACAGCTATTTGGGGGATGGAAGGAATGACTTCCTAAACACAAAAACAATGAATGAGTACTCTCTGGGGGGCACCTGTGTGGCTCAGTCAGCTGAGCATCTGCCTTTGGCTCAGGTCATGATCTCAGGGTCCTGGGATCGAGTCCCACATCAGGCAGATGTGGGACTTCTCCCTCTCTGTCCCCCCAACCCTCTGCTCTCCCTCTTTTTCTCTCAAATAAATAAAATATTAAAATCTATGTGGCTATTCGTTTATGTGTATCTTATATATTTAAGTTTTAATTAATTTATTCATTTAACATGGGGCTGAAACTCATGACCCTGAGATCAAGAGTCACACACTCTCCTGATTTAGCCAGCCAGGCACCCCATCTTGCATTTATTTTTACTCTCATATTTTGGGGATTTTTCTTTTATGACCCCTAAACAGCTACTGTTGTTATATAGACAGGCCACTGGACATTGTTTGTTTATTCCGAAACTGGTCAGTTTAACTAACTGTTCATTACTTTTGTTAAAATTTTGTTAGGCCTCTTGGGCTTCCTAGAAGTGGTAGTCATTTCACTAAAGATGACAATTATGAAAGTTATCTTCTCCTTTCTCAATATATATAAAATGTCCACGTGTGCGTGTGTTATCATATTAGCAGCAATTGACAGAAAAGTGCTCAACTGTGTTGAGACTAAACACCTTGATTCTCCTTTTCATGACCATCAGGTTGCCTGGTGACTGCATGTGAACTTCTCCTTCCATTAATTTGGAGAAGATGTTACATCCATCACATATATTTTGGCATCTATGGAGACAGGCATAAAGTGTTTTTCCTTTTGTTCAACTGATGTATTTTATTCATAGATCCTCTACGGAAAAAAATTCCTTTCTCTCTCTCTTTTTTAAGTAGGCTCCACGCCCAGTGCAGGGCTTGAACTCACACCCTGACTGAAATCCAGACCTGAGTTAAGATCAAGAGTCAGATGCTTGGGGCACCTGGGTGGCTCAGTGGGTTAAGCCTCTGCCTTCCCAGTCAGGTCATGATCTCAGGGTCCTGGGATCAAACCCTACATTGGGCTCTCTGCTGGGCAGGGAGCCTGCTTCCCCCTCTCTCTCTGCCTGCCTCTCTGCCTACTTGTGATCTCTGTCAAATAAATAAATAAAATCTTAAAAAAAAAAAAAGTCAGATTGCTTAACCTACTGAGCCACCCAGACGCCTCTAACAGGTCCTCTAATTCTTAACTATTCTTGTGTATGAGGATAAGCTATATAAAGACATGTATCTATACTCAATCACTTATTTATTTGCATATTTCTGTGACTGTATCTTTGTTTCATCTGTCTTTCCCTTCTTAGATTTATCTTACTCCTGAGTTCTTCTTTGCTTCTCTCTGCCTCTCCACCACTCCCTGTTATCTCAGACATTAACTGCTCCCATCATCTTATTTTAACAGAAACACAACAGGGATCCAGGTCCTTTCACATTCAAATACCCACCCTTCTCTTCAGAAACACAGCCAACATTCTGGAGTTGGCTGAAGCTTGTAAGATAACGAACAATTTCACTATCAGAAGAAGCTGAACAGGTATATTTAAATTAAGATATGTTAAGTACTACCTGAAAACCAATCTATCATTTCCTAAGTACAGTTCTCAACCTGCCCTTACGTTCTTTAAACACAGGGCAGCAATGGGTTGGCAGTAACAACGAAGGGTACATCTAGTGTCTACACCTTTAGTATGAGATCTGAATCCTTTTGTGTTTTGGATCACCCTGAGTCTTAACCCAGGGGGTGATTCTCTACATTCTTGTTTGGATCAGCTCAGTCACTAGATGTGAATCTTACAAGGCACATCTTGACATTTCTGCCCTGGCCATTGCCTCTGCCAAAAAGGCCCCTCCCTATACCTCCACACTAATCCCTCTTCCTTCTCCAAGTCTTTGTCCAAATTTTCCCTTCTCATGAAAATCATTCTTAATCACCTCATTTAAATTTGTAGTTCTCCCACCCTGACTGCCCTTATCTTGTATCTTCTTCTTTTTTGTTATTGTTATTGATAGTATATAAACTTTGCTAAGGTAGTGATTTCTGTTTTGTTCACTAATCTACCTCCAGTGTCTGGAATAGTGCCTGGCTTACAGTAGTTTCTTAACAACTCTTTGTTGAATAAATGAATGGCTTTCATTGACTGTGGCCATTTGAGGTGGTTCTTTTCCTTCTGTCCTCTAAGATCAAATCATAGCTTTTAACTATCATAAGTAATGATGCAACATGATTTTCCAACAGTTACCTCTGGTTGCAAACATACTTTTTCATCTAATTTGACATTCAGGAGGTGGAGAGATAGAGGCCAGGGCAAACTGAAAAACATGCTAATCCTAAATTCTTCAAACATTTGTGGGTTTTTTGAGCTAAAAGGGCTGGACAGTACCACAGGGCACCCATCTACAAGCACAGAAGTGGAAATCCAACGTGGGGGGGGAGATGGAACTGATCAGAATTCCTCTCTTGGTAACTAGAGTGCATAGTTGGAAAATATTACCTGGTAAGCTGCCTGGGGTGGGGCTGGCTGCCATGCACGGCCTAGGCAGAAAGCTGACTGCCAGGGACCCCAACCTCAATTCACCCCCTGATGGTCTTGCAACCTCACACAGGTTTCCTAACCTCTCTCTGCAAGTTTCCTGAGTTGAAAAATGCAGCCAAAGAAAGAACTGCCTCCTGGGATCTGTGTGAGGCTTCGATGACCTGTAAAGCCCTGGGGCTGCCTAGGTGGCTCAACCGGTTAAGTGTCTGCCTTAGGCTCAGGTCATGATCCCAGGGTCCTGGGAATCCCTGCTCAGCAGGGATCCTGCTTCTCCCTCTCCCCTACTTGTGCTCCCACACGTGGTCTCTCTCTCTCTCTCTCTCTAGCACACACAGGCACTCTTTCTCAAATAAATAAAATCTATTTTTAAAAAAAGGAAGAAATATAAGTGCTTAAAATAATTTCTGGCAGATTAAAAAAAAAACAAAACAAAAACAAACCCAAACCAGCTACTGACTACTACTATTATCATCACTACAGCTAGGAGCTCTAATATTTTTCCCATTATCGTTCTAACTGGGGTAGATCCAGACTGAGCATGCACACCACATAGTGAGAATTAGAACGCAATTACTTGAGATAACAGAGGAAGGACTAAATGCAGCCACCACAACCCATCATCATCTTCTGCTCACAAAGGCTCATGTTGTTCTTAAATGAAATAGTCAACAAATATTAAAAGAGCATGTGGTCGAATGGGTACCAACTTAGCCTACCTGGGGGCGCCCACACGTCTCAGGCTCTGCTGGAACATATTACAACAGGCTTGTCTAATCTTTAGTAGGAGAAAGGTTCCTCAAGAATGGATCTGCATATTTTGTGTGTACAGGGTCCCCGATAACTCTCCCCCCTCAACCTCTCCCACCACCCTGTGGGAGCACTTCCCCTCAAGAGAAAAATCAGCATTAGAATCAAGATCTGCAGGTGGTTAGAGCCAAGGTCACTCGTCAGGGAGGGCTGGAAAGTTCTAGAGCCCGCTCATGGCCCCTGGCAGCTGTGATACACAGCACACAGACACCGACAGTGAACTGGGGGGCCTGTGGGAATGGTCTAGAGGACTCCCAATGGGCAGGTGGGACACTGAGAAGCCGTGGTGGCCGCGGGGTCCCCTGACGCAATACTCACAATATGGGGAGACTGTCGGCTCATCCCAATCACGGTCCGGTTGATCCTTCTCAGCAGCCGCTCCATTATCAGCTGGATGTGCATCGCAGTGGGGCCCTATGAGGGAAACATGGGAACTGACCCACTTCTTCTGACTCAGCTTCACTTTTCCTCAAAACACCTTGGACAGGTGAATTTTCTCCTTAAGCCTCATTCAGGCTCTTCCCTGAAAAGCAATCTCTTGTCCAAAAAGGGGAAAAGAAGTTCACAGATGAACACATGCTGTTACTTAGGAATCGGTTAAAATGATTAGGGTTAGCATATAAAAACAGAGCGTGGGCATGTCGGGGAGAACGCCTCCCTAGTAACCCAGACCATCCGTGTTCACTGCAAGTTCACTGTGGCCACCAATTCAACGGAGTTCCGGGAGGACCCCCCTGGCATGAGAAGTCAGTCCTGACGCTGAGCACATGCGGTGGCCCAGGAGAAACAGGCATGTGCACGGGAAGGAAAAGGCAAAAATTCAACGTTCTTGCCACCTTCTGTGTAGGAGGAAAAAAAAAAACAAAAAAAAACCCACAAGAAATTCAAATCAAGGAGATTGCTATTGATTGAATGTTTGTGTTCAAAGTCATAGGCTGGGGGCACCCAACTGGCTCAGTCAGCTGATGTGACTCTTGATCTTGGGGTTCTGAGTTTAAGCCCTACACGGGGCCCAGAGATTAATTTTTGAAAACCCACAAAAGTCATATGCTGGTCCTTTAACTTCTTGTGTGATGGTATTTAGAGATGGATTTTGGGGAGCCAATTAGGTCATGAAGGCGGGGCCCTGGTCTTATAGGGTTAGCGTCCTTATAATATAAGGAGAGACACCAGAGAGCTGGCTTTTTCCTTCTCCACACACAGACTAAGGAAAAGCCATGTGAGGACAGAGAGCCAGCAACCATCTTCAGGCCAGGAGGGGAGCCCTCCCCAGGAACCCGACCACACGGGCACCCTGACTTTGGACTTGCAGCTGCCAGAACCGTGGGAAATAAATACCTGTTGTTTAAGCTGCCCAGTCTGGGGTGTTTTGTTTTGGCAGCCCAAGGAGACTAACACAGGATTTAATATTTTGACTCTGTCATGTGTCACTCTGAGCAATTATTTAACTTTGTTGAGGCTCCGTTTCCATAGCTGGAAAAAAAAGGTTCCCTTACAGGAATTAGCTGGGCTGGTGTACACAATAAATAGTGCCTCACAAATATGTATTCTTCTTTGTTTTGTTTTAAGACTTTATTTATTTGAGAGAAAGAGAGAGAGAGAGAGAGCACAGAGGGAGATGGAGAGGCAGAAGCAGGCTCCCCGCCAAGCAGGAAGCCCGAAGTGGGGCTCGATCCTGGGACCCCGGGATCATGACCTGAGCTGAAGGCAGAGGCTTAACTGACTGAGCCACTCAGGCACCCCACAAATACATATTCTTTATTTCTCCTTCTCTCCTGCTTGTGATTTGATGTTATACTCATTTGGCCCCAAGCTAGCAATAGTCAACCTTGTCTTTCGAAGCTTTTATCCATTCTGGCTTCATGATAGATATTTTGAAACTCCTGGGTAATGGTTCAAATAACTAAATCACTGCTATATATAATATCATTATAATATCAAGTATTGTTAGCTTCCCTGTCATGCCTCCCTTCTTTCCTTCTTCATTTTTATTATACATTCACTTGCTTTCCATTTCTTTGAGGGAACATGATCCATAGACCTTGTCTCTCTGTTGAAGCATTTTACCCTCATTCCGTAGTGAGACCACACCCCAAACCCGGCTAGGTGAGTGAGTCCCGCCTGCTGGGATGGAGGGAGGAAACGGAATCAGATGCTCTCGGAGCCCTTCAAAGATTCACCTCACCCGGAGAGCTGGGGCTTGAAGGACAATGAGCAGAACACAGGATCCTCCTAGAAGGGCAGCTCCATGATGGCAGGTGCTTCACTCTCCTGTTCAGTGCTGCACTCAGACCTATCTCAGCGCCCGGAGCGTGGGCGCTGTTCAAGATGTGTCTGTGAACTGAACCACAGCTCAGGATACCGAACGAGAAGGACCTTAAGCCGGATGTAAGGAGAGCACAAACGGAAGTGGCAGAGTGGGGGACTCCAGGCAGGCCTGGACCAGGAGCGACCTCAGGCAGGGACCTTCGGCAGCTGGACTTTGAAGAATGTGGGCAGTGTGGAGACACAGCTTTGGGAAAAGAGGAATCCTGGGCTATTGAAAAAAGGCATAGGAATCCATGTCAGTAATCAGAGCCTGGAATTATAACTGAGGAAATGGGGGGGATAGGGGAAGACATACAGGATTGGTTTATACATTTAAGAATGCTTATGGTGGGGGATAAAGCCGTATCATTACCATCACCAAAAATTTATCCAATTTACTAATTTTACAGAAGCTCCAAGATCAATAATCTTGAATGCTTCTGCTCATTACAGGGAACGTTATTAGGAAGACAAAAAAAAAAGCTTCCTCAAGCCAATTAAATCTTTCAGCATAAAATGTAAATACATTCAAGTCATTTCCAAAGGGTCCTTCTGCATGTATGAAGGTGGGCAAAGATATTATATTAAAATTTTTATATTAAATATAAATCCTTAAATTTAATTAAATTTTACATTTATAATAGATTTACTTTTAATATAAATATAACTCTATTAAAGTAAATCTATTTATATTATATAATAAATACATTTACATTAAATATAAATGTTATGCTAAATTTATAGTCAACAGATTTAAATATATAAATTTATATAAATGTATAATCATATACTTTATATACAATTTATATAAATTGTATATAAATTATATAAATTTATATATTTTACTTATATATAAATATATATTTAATAACATATAATTACATATTTATAAATATAATAAACTAATGTAATTTTACATTAAATTTATACAAATATAAATATATTTATAACTTAAATATTATTTGTTATACTATATATTTTATTATTTTAATGTCATATATAGCAATATATATTATTTAAATATAAATATAAATTGAATATAACAAATTTATATTAAAAATTTGTATTAAAATACATTATATTAAAAACAAAACATGGGGCACCTGGGTGGCTTGGTCGGGTAAGTGACTGCTTTTCCTTTGCCCTCTGTTCCTACACCCCACTCGTGCTCTCTCTCTCAGATAAATAAAGTCTTTAAAAAACAAAACAAGAGAGTTCCGGAGGACGGGAATGAAGATGGCGGCCTCGCAGTCTCCGGCCCGGAGGAGCCGAGAGCCCGGGGCCCCACTCCTCAGTGCGCCCTCAGAGAACAGCGCCCAATTGCTCCCGTCACCCTGCCTCCGGCCGCGCTCCGAGCTGACCGAGCCTGCGACGGTTCAAAGTCTGGAGTTAAGACTCTGCCCCACAATGCCAAGGGTCACTATAACTATGCCAGTTTCCTGAAGGACCAGTGTCGGAACCAGAAAGCGATCCACCCCTGCAGAACCGCCCTCAGGATTTTCATGCTGCAAACTAGACCAGAGAAGATAGAATCTCGTGGCATAAGGAGAGGGAAAGAGACAAATGGTGGATGCAGATGAAGAACCATCTTAGGGCTATGATTTATTTTTATGTGCATACATTTTGTGTGTCTATCCTTCTTCATAATGCTCACTTTACTGATGCCCTGATCCAGAGACATTTATATAACTCCCCTGTGTACAAACCAAGAATTCCCACCATCTCGTGCAAATAGAAGGCCCCATATGGACAGATGGTCAGCAATCCCAGCAGGCCAGAAACTCAGCACCTTATGAGAACTTTCTACCAAAAGAACTTGCAACTAACTGTTTAAGCCATAAAAGGTTGTAATTGTTCAATAATGCTAGCTTTGTTTATTTCTAAACCTTATATTACTTAGGTTGTATTTATACTACTGTGTGTCAGATCTACCTTCTGCATACCTCCAAAATTTTATAAGACTTTAAATTGCCTTTTTGTCTTTTCTTTTCTTTTTATTTTTTTACAAAATAAAAGTTGGCCATAATGAAATGATTGAGACAGCCATACCCATTCAAAAGAGAAAGTAAAGGAAGATTTCAGTGTTTTTAAAAAAAAAACAAAACAAGGTAGCGTCAGAGTGGAAGAGACCCAAGAGGCCACCCAGAACAATCCCTCCATGCTAAGTAAGGGGAACTCAGGCGTCTACAGATTTGCCTAAGGATAAAGAGCTACACATGCTAATACTGGCACCAGAAAATGGCCCAATTCCCATGTTTTAGATTAACCCTGGATCATATACACACATTGGAGCCTTGACTAAACCGAAGACCCTGGTACACTGTTGCCAACTCAAGCTTGGAGCTTCATTTTAGTACTTTGATTACGGAGTCATAAGAGTTACTTTTTAAAAATATTCTTATCATCATGAGATGATTGGTTACATTTATTTATCTGTTGTAAAATCCTTGGTTAGGAATCAAATCCCCAGTCATAAAGTTCCTTGGGGAAACTTATTATATTTTATTTGGTTTCTAGAAACACACTTAAGAAAAAGAAGAGGAAGGGGAACATGACCTATAATTAATAAATACCCAATAAATAACACAAATTCTAAGGTGGGCTGCAGGGGCTCAGGGAAAGGGTGGGGGTAGGTGGAAAAGGCAATGGCGTTCTCCGGTACCTCCGCAGCTGAGGAGTGAATTGGCAGAAATGCAGACATGCCTGTGTGAAGAGGAGGCAGGCCGTGGCCAAACCGGGGTGGGCCTTGAAAGGTGAGCTAAGAATTTAGCTATGGGAAAAGGGACAGAGTGCTCTTCAACTCCTTTAGCAGAACTGAGCCTAAACATACTGGTAAGAGAATGGCTTAGGCAAAGCCAAGAGTGTCTTCCTTGCTCTGTGGGAACACTGGTGCCAGGCAGACATTGTGGAGGGCAGTAGGTATGGTTTGTGCACAACTGAACACATTCTGCCAACTTTTCCAGCCTCCTGAGAGTGGTCCTGCCTAGGCTATGGGCTGTGTTATCTCTAGAACAAGGTAAATCCAGGCAGATGAAGCCCCAGGGTTTTGAAGAGGATGGGAGGTAAGGGAGAAGATGAGAGATGAGAAAACACATCATTTCCACCAGGCTCCAAAAGGAAGGATTGGTGTCAGAGAGAGTATAAAAATGAAAGCATCTCAGAAGCTCAGGCACATCTACAACAGTCCTCTCAGTACCAGTGGTAAAAGAGGGCCAAGGTTTCTGCATAAAAAATCTAAACAGGCCTCTGATTCTTCAAAGCGCCCTCAGGGATCTCCACCGTGGATGAGCCGGGAAAAGCAGCCGCCGCAAGTGCCAGCAGCCCGCGGACCTCTCCTAGACCTAGATTTGCAGAGCAGACTCTGGCAAGCAGAAGCCTCTCTGATCACCTCAAAACCAGCCCCAGGACCCAGGTTCTAAACCGCTGGGGCCAAGCCCTGAGACAAGGAAGGCCCTGAAGTCATTCTTGCCCGAGGCAGAGGGACCCGTCTGCACTGTGGTCTGCATGGGGTGACGATTCAACTCACCACATCCTTCCTGTCCAGTACTTCCAGGATGTTGCTCAGAAGCTGCGAGCTGGCCTCATGGTCGGGCTTGCTGGAGTTGTCATCTAACTGGCCGCTGAGCTGGTCTATCAGCAGCGGCAGCAGCACATCTCTGCACTCTGGGGGAGAAAGAGCACCCAGCTCACCAGCTGCAGCACCCAACCCCCCGCACCGGCCCCCAGATGCCCTGCTTCTGCCTGCAACTCTCTCTCTGCCTGATACCACAGCTGACCTCTGAGCTCCACCCAGTGGGAGCACAGCAGCCTAGACATGGAACTTCAGCCCTGTAATTTGATTTTAAAAACTCAGAAAATTACACCCATCACAGGCACATAAACAAAAAGGTTTCAAGTATTCAACAATGTCTTTAGCTAAAAAAAAAAAATAAAAAAGCCAACTTGACAGCCAGAGGCAAAGTCCTACAAAAGGAATAAATTAAGCAAGTCACACTTGTAAAAAATGTTTGAAAGCTTCCACCAAATGGAGAGATTGGACTCTAAAATTTGTATGAATACCAAGTGAGCCTTCCTAGGACATTGTGATGTGTTTCAAGGACATCCTGATGTTTTGGCAGGCATATGAGCTTCATAAAATAAGGGCTTATCTTTCTATGATGTCTTCCTTCTGGGATCCTCGATATTATAAGACATTATTACGATGAGGCCAGATGTTCTGGACGCTAACGGAAATGACTGTTAACAGCGAGAATACTTCCTCTAATTGGAACACACAGTGCCTGCTAGCTTTTGTGCTCAAACAGCCCATTTTTATCATCTTCCGTATCCTTTCTGCATGCTTAGAGGCAGATATATCATAGCGTATGAAGATGTCTAGTAATATTAGGTTTTCTACTTAAGAGCATTCACTAGCTTTGTACACACCTCCAACAGTGTCCTTGTAACAGTTGGAATTTCTAAGCAAAAATTCACAGGGTCAGAAAATTTCAGAGCCAAAAGAGGCTACTGATGTGATCCAGTTCAAATCCTCCCTTCCGTGGAAATGGAGGCTAAGACTTACAGAAGGTTCCTGGTGTGTCCAAAGTTACATAACCAGCCCGGAGCAAGGCCAGGAGGCCTGGCACCAACAACCTGCTCACCTTTCCCTATTTCTGAGGAGTCCTGGTGCCTGGTGACCTTCCAGGCAATACACACCACATGGGGTCACCCTCTGGAAGCCCCTCACCCTCTGGTAGCCCCAAAACAACTTCCCAGAGCAGCCCCTCTCTGGCAAGTCTTGGGTTTATTGGGGAAAGACCAGCTATCAGACCTCTTTCCCATATCAGCTTGGGGACAAGAGTACAGTGATTTAGACGTGGTGGCTGTATGCTTGCCCCTAGTCACAAAACAAAGAGCATTTCATCCATGTTAGAGTTTTCTCTCTTCCACGCCCTCTGGCTCCCCCACAAAGCCCCGAGGCCCCTCTAAAACCTGTGACTTAGAGCGTTTGCCAATTTCTGTGGTGTAAATACAACCACTGTGGCCCATTTTCAGTGCTTCATGTGACATGACCGAGCATGGAAGTTAAGAAGAGATACACACATCGGCTCTCCTGAGCCGGGGAGGGGGGGCAGGGAGGAGGGGAGGATAGCACAACCCTGCACAGCTGCTCCTTGGCTTTTCAGGTTATGCAACAAATACAGGTCGAAGAAGACACATTTGTTGAAAAGAACCATCTTTCCTGTTTGCCTGCTGGGGTGTGCCATTTGGAGGACAAAGTTCTCTAATTACTGAAAGACTGGATTGTCCTCATTGGAAAAAAAAAAAAAAAAGTCTCGGATCCTCTTGGAAATATTAAACTGACTCTGTCTGCTCCTTAAAACCGGTTTCTCGGGAGATCCTGGAGTCCCAACCAGCTACTGGCAAGGTCATTATTGACATTTTTTAAAAAAGCAAGCAAGTGCTAGCTGGAGAAGCTGCCAAGACTGGAATTTCGGCAAGCGGTAGTTTTTGTTGAGGACGTACCTGACTGCCGGAAAAGACTGCTCTCCACTATCTTGGTCATGCAGTTCAGTTTCTGGCGAACTAACTGGTTGTCAGGGATGCTCTGGATGAACTTGCAGAAGAGCACGCTGCAAGAGAGATCCCAGTAGTTAGTTATTTTCCTTCTGTCCCACTGAAGGGACTATTACACAGCTCCCGTCGACTCCGAGATCCGGGCATGGAGTGTTTTCCCTGGAAATCTCCCCCAGGCGGCCTGAGCGTCTGCCCCTCGGAGGTGAAGACTGTGCTCCACACGGGCTGTAGCTCTCAGCCTCAGAGCTGCCTGTCTGAACTTGCGAAGCACCGGCACGTCCATCCCGGCTGTACAGACCTGCCTGAACGCTCCTCCCCTGCAGGACCCTCTCCCAGCTAACTCCACCCGCTGTCGCTCACCGCCTCTGTATGGCCCGGGGGCTTGCCTAGAGGGCTGGAAGCAGATCGTTATGTATGTTCTTCTAGAGTTAATTTCCCATCTGCGCATCGATTCTCCAGAGAAAAGGGCAAACCTCACTCAGGGGCAGGCTTTGTGTCTCCTTTTATATTTTCTGCAGAAACGGAGCCCCAGAAGGGGTTCCGTTAATACGGGTTGGAAGACTAATAGAATGTGCAGCAGCCCAGGCCCCAGGCAGGGGCAGCTTCTTTGTAAAAGTCCACGAACTCGCTTTGCTATTTACCTGAGCTCCACGGGATCAAACACAAGTTTGACGTCGTTAATGATGCTGGGAAGGTACTTCAGAGCTGCCCCCTGTCAGAAAAATACAGAAAGGCAAATTCAGTTGCCAGGCAGGAAGAGCAAAGAATGTGTTACTTAATCCCAGGAAGAAAAGGCTTGCATCCACGTAGGGAACTGGACACAGACGCTCTCGCACTAGAGAGGAGAGCTCAGTGTTGCTAAAGGTGATGCCTAGAATGTTTTCCTGAAAGGTCAGATGGCACGGCTTTTCTTTTTCTTCATTACCAACAGGTACTGTTTGTTTGGAATTCGTCTTTCTATCTAAGGAGGTCGTTAAGATCCTGACATCTCCCTCACAAGGTGGCCATCAAGAACAAAGAATAAATAATGAAGTACAGATCTGAATCCTTAGAGATGGCATATTTTCCATGAAAAAACTGGTAATGATGAACATGAGGGAGACTTTGGGCTTCTGGGAAGAATGGGGGAACTTAGGATAAAAACCCGTTGCCTGTGACACGGATCGACTGGCTGAATTCACAGACATCATAGGATGTCTTAAAGGATAGTTTGTCTGGGGCAAATTGCCATTTGAGAATACAAAAGGACATAAAAGTTAAAACACGGGTTTCTCCCTTTGCTTTCAGTAAGTCATACTAAAATTCACAGGCCTTCCACGAATATGATTCACTTTGCTTCTCTCCCACCGCGTCCAGTTCTATGTTATCACAGAACACGCTCAGAGACAGCAAGAAAAGGGACGCCCGCGCTGATACCCTGCTGACCTTTATCTTGACGGCTTCCTCCAAGGGCCTGTCCATGAGCATATTGAAAGCGAGAAATAGCTGGCGGATTGAATTATTAAATTCATCTCCGTCTTCACTTTGGCCGTAAAATCTTAACAGGAGAAAGAGAAACAGTGGTCAGGTTTTCCACCTTTAAAAAGAAATTTCTGAGACGATCCATCACTTGAGCAATGCTGGAGGCCAGTGCCTCCCTGGTCACCACTTGAGACTGCGTGAAGGGAAGGTCAAAGGGTGCACCAAGGAGACGCCCAGTAGTAGGCTGAGAAGATATTACCACCTGGACAAGAGCACGTAGGAACCCGTGCTACAGTCCCACCACAGAGCTCTCCACTTGGTCTGCTATGGTCAGCCAGTTGGGAAGAACTCCCTGGAAGCTGAATGAGGCTGTCCCTCCTAACGGTGTACAGGCATTTCCGGCAAAGGGGGAGCAGCAGGAAGCTGCTCTGCCTAAAGGATCAGATGTGAGCCCCGTGCGCATGCCCAGACTCCTCAGCTCATTAGCAGAACACCTGATACGCAGGGGACTCCCCCAGCACACGTTCCCAACCCATACTCTTGCCGCAGCCTAGCCTCCAGTGTCACTCCTGCCCTCCTCCCCCATTCTCCTCTTCTCTTCTTACTGGACCTACAGTGTTCTGAACCCAACACGGTCTGCAAGTTCCGGAATGCCATTCTCTCCACTGAAGTGGCCCGCTGGGTGCTGACCTGCTCTACGACAGGGCCTCGTAGCACAGGAGAACACCTCCCCTTCGCTGATTCCTGCTGGTTTTGATTAAGGTATTCTTGTTTGTCTTCAGGATCTGTCCAGCCGCTGAAAGTTGGTTCTTTCTCATAAGTAGAAATCAGAGGTCTTGGGCACATTTCTCAGAAACACAGAAGTCCCAAATTGTAGTCCAAGTGCATTTACACTGGGTGGCAATGGTACCACCAACTGGTCAAGAGTAGGGATCTTCCGGCATCAGGATTTTTACTTGGGTAAAATCCAAACATCTTAGGATGACCTGCCAGGTCCTACCTCTCCTGTCACTCTGCTGCTGCTCCCCACTCCCCACTCCCTCACTGTTATTCCCCATGCTCCCAAAGCACTGGCTTCTCCTAATTCCTCACACAGGCTCTACAGAGCCTCCCACACACCCTCACTCCTCCTCCCTGACACCTACACAGGTGGCCTCCTCCTGTCTGGTCTCAATTCAGATGCCAACTCCTGGAGACGCTTCCTCCCTCCCTGACCATTATCCCCTATTCTCCCCCGTCCCCAAGGCCTCCCGGGCCAGCCTTTACTGATCTGAAATTATCTTCCCTTTCTTCCTTTGCTACTTGCCTTCCTGGCTTCAACACAACCCAGAAGCACCATCAGAGCTAGAGCCTTATTTCCTCTGTTACTAGGTCCCCAGCACCCAGAACAATACCGGGCACCCTCTGAGCTGGGCACTTAAAAAGAAGGCACCAGGGGCTCCTGGGTGGCATAGTCAGTGAAGTATCCAACTTTTGATTTTGGTTCAGGTCATGCTTTCAGGATCCTGGGGTTAAGCTGCACTCCTGGGGTGTCTGCTGCTTTTCCCTCTTGCTCTCCCTCTGTCCCTCCCCCCCACTTATGCACGCTCTCATTCTAAAATGAATGAATGAATGAATAAATAAATCTTTAAGGGAAAGGGCTGGGGGCTGGGAAGGGGGGGTAGGGTGGGGCTAATTCAAGACTGAAGCCGAGTCCTCAATGACCTACCATGGGCAGTTTACAACTTGAATTCTCCCTAGGTGTCTCCAGAATGGGGGTAAATTCCAGCCAGGAAATGAGCTCAGAAGAGGAATTTAAGCTCTGAGGAGGGCAAAGGGGTGGGGGTGGGGAGCTGTGGGGGGGAGATCTGTGTAGGGTGACATTTTATTTGCCGCTCCTGGACAGGGCCAATAAACTGATGTCCATCTGATCTAAGCAATCAGAGAATGTAGATTTCCAGGCTGACTTTCTCAGATCAAGCTCTTGTTTAATGAGAAACGATTGGAGGGGTGGGGATAACCAGCTCAGGGACCGAGTTTGACACAGCAACTCCCTTAGTTAATTTCAGGGGCTACTTAACCACCTTAATCTTGGCTTTTCTGTTGTTCTCCTCCTATACGATACTGAAAACGATGGTTCAGATACACTGCAACATGGTGAAGGCTGACATGCTAGTGAGTCATCAACAGAATATATTTTTCAATTTCATAAATGAAGATTTCCTTTCTATGGTTTTACAAGGATCTTTATTCCTAGACATCAGGGTTCACTATGCAAATGTCCAGGTAAGGGGATGTTCCCTCAGTGGGACACTCCAGGCCTTAAATGAATTTGTGGAAATTCAACATAAGTACAGAACGAGGAGCTGGCTATTAAAGAAGCCTGTCTGAAGAGAGAATGAGACTACAGAGATCACATATAAACCATGGACTTGGGGCGCCTGGATGGCTCAGAAGGTTAAGTGCCTGCCTTCGGTTTGGGTTGCGGTCCTGGGATCAGGTCCCACATTGGGCTCCCTGCTCGGCAGAGGGCCTGCCTCTCCCTCTCCCTCTACTGCTCCCCCTACTTGTGCTCTCTCTCTCTCTCTCTAATAAATAAATAAAATCTTTTAAAAAATTAAAAATAAAAAAATAAACCCTGCATGGCGAACACTGCTCTTGCTTCAATAGGCAAGGAGGAACAGTCATTCGCCCAGCTGAACTTTTAAGTAATTAAACATTTTTTTAAACCATAAAAATGTAAAAAATCACTGTGGAAACTTCAAAAATGCTGAAAGAATAAAAAACCGCTTAAAGCCCTCTTATCTACAGTTTTATTCCTAACTAAAATTTTAGTTCCCAAACCAGTATTTTCAAAATGGGATCAATGGCACTTATGTCTCATGCTTTAGTTTTATTATTTAAGAACCTATCACAGTTGTCTTTCCTCATTAACATACCCTTTTCCCATTCAACTTTGTTCACACCTGCTAGATTATTTTCCAGCAGATAAATTTTTAGATGGGGTATTACCAGACAAAGGTAGTATTTTCTTTTGCTTTTGGAGGATTTTGTTTTGTTTTTGCTTTTTATTCAAGGTGCCAAATTTCTGCCCTTAAAAAATTTATATTCCTATCAGCATTAAAATGCAGGACCTATTTCTGTCCAATTTCATCAAAGGATAAAGATTTTTAATCTTTATCAAATGTATAGAAAAAAGATACTACACGTGTATGGTATTTTGATAGTATGAATTTTTTTTAAGATTTTTATTCACTCACTCACTCACTCATTTAATGATTGATTGATTGATTGAGAGTGGGAGCAGGCGCAGACAGAGAGGGAGAAATAGTATCCCAAGCAGGCTCCCTACTGAACACAGAGCCCCATGCAAGGCTTGATCCCAGGACCCCAAGATTATGACCTGAGCCAAAATCAAGAGACTCAACCATCGAGCCACCCAGGTACCCCTGAATATTTCTTAAGAAATTTAATTTACCATTTGAATTTTTCTCTTATACATTATCTCTTTTTGTTTTCTATTATTTAAGTATGTTTATTATTCTTTTGTTGATTGGGAAGAGCCTTTCATTAATAAAGCTAATTAAAGGGACGCCTGGGTGGCTCAGTTGGTTAAGTGACTGCCTTCGGCTCAGGTCATGATCCTGGAGTACCAGGATTGAGTCCCACATCAGGCTCCCTGCTCGGCAGGGAGTCTGGAGTACCAGGATTGAGTCCCACATCAGGCTCCCTGCTCGGCAGGGAGTCTGCTTCTCCCTCTGACCCTCCCCCTTCTCATGCTCTCTCTCTCTTTCTCAAGCTCTCAAATAAATAAATAAAATCTTTAAAGTTTTTTTTTTTATTATTCATTTATTTGACAGAGATCACAAGTAGGCAGAGAGGCAGGCAGAGAGAGGGGGGGGGGAAGCAGGCTCCCTGCTGAGCAGAGAGCCCGATGCGGGGCTCGATCCCAGGACCCTGAGATCACGACCTGAGCCGAAGGCAGAGGTCTAACCCACTGAGCCACCCAGGCACCCAATAAATAAAATCTTAAAAAAAAAATAAAGCTAATTAAAGATCTTGATCTATATTGTACATTGCAAGCTTTTTAATGTTAATTGTTTGCCTTTAATTTTGTTTATGATTGTTGAGACATACCAAGTTAAAACCAATACAAATGCTCAGGTCTAGACTTGAAATCCTCTTACCTATGGTTTTACTCCTAGTAACATTTTAGCATGCTCTCTGTCCTGTTTCCAAACCTGCCTTAGCAATATATTTCCAGTTTGGAAATCCAACTCTTATTGAAATGTAGAGATGACACTGGGGTTGTGAGCATTCCCAGGACAGTTACGTCCTCATTCTTTGTCTCTGCTATTTCTTTTTAAAGATTTATTTAGTTTAGAGAGAGAGCAAGCAAGCAAGGTGGGGTGCGGGGAGCAGAAGGAGAGGGAGACATAGAATCTCAAGCAGGCTCCACATTCAGCACAGAGCCCAGTGAGGGCTGATCTCATGACCCTGAGATCACAACCTGAGCTGAAACCAAGAGTCAGACGCTTAATTAACCCAAGTGCCCCATCTCTATTTTTGGTGAAGCTGTTATTTTAGAAATTCAAGCTGGGAATTACCATATTTGGCTTAGTTTCATCAAGTAGCTGAGCATGACGTCAGCAAAGAAACACACACTTGAGGGAACATCTCCCCAATGACAATGGCCACCATTCTCCATCCTCCACCAAGAGCTCACGATCCTAGAATTGTACACCTGACATCATCATGAAGTCCCTTGCTGCACTAAATGCAGTCTTGCCATAGGAACCTTGACTCCTAGAGCTGTCATCACCAAATAAGGCTTTCATCAAGCTGCATATAGTAGCCACATACGTCCCTAATCCTCCTGTCATTACTGCCCTAGAAATTCTGCTGCCTTGAAAGGACTCTGGACCAGACTTCTCCAGGGGTTTCAGAAGCTACCACCATGTTCAGCCTTGGAGTTCTGAAATTTGGCAATTCCGTGATCCAACTGTGATCAGAGCACTGAACACAGAGCACGCGGATTAAGGGAAAATCCGTGAAAGAGAACAGACAGCATAAATGTCTTCCTGCAGTTAGCATTACCTCAAGTAGAGTACTCTGGATTGGATGATGAACAGTTAGCATTACCTCAAGTAGAGTACTCTGGATTGGATGATGAATCGAAACAAGTACTTTAGGGCTTTCAAAGCAGCAAAAAGCAATTCTGTCTTGCTGGAGTCATCTGCATTCGCCACATAAAAGTTCAGTACCTTGGAGAGTTTCCTTAAAGGGTGAGAAAGAAAAATGTCAGCGGGGCAAAATGGTACTCTGAGGTTTGAGGTATGTTATATGAGAAGGGAACTTGGCATACCGGGGAAGCAGAAATCACAACTATAATGATCTCTTCTAGAATATGCCCTGAGTAGAGAAACTGACTCCTTTGCAGTTTGGTTTCCTCACCACAGTCTAAGTTTGGAGCATCCCTAAAACTTAGAAATAATGGGTGGTTTCTTTCCTTAGCAGGATTTTTAAAAGGAATCAAAAATGAAGGGATTCAAACCATGAAGACATTTTAATCTCCAGTATGTTATACACACATTCTCAGACGTTCCTGGAAGGAAGGGACTGTATGCTTAACGTAGTCACCTTAAAAGAGGTCTAATTCCCTTCAGTCTGCCTGAACTCTTTGGGAGTCACAGAACGGTGAGGATGAGAAGAGAAGCTCCATCTGACTCTGGCTCAATCTGATGACAACCATGGTTTCTGGGCATCCCAACAGATAACACTGGGCTGGGATGTCAGATCGCTGTGTCTTTCCAGAGTCTAGGCATTTTCTTAATTGTCTGCTGACTTACACTTTGAGGGACACTCATAGCTTGACCTTTCTTTCTGTGAACCTCTGACTTTTCCTAGTGTTAAGAAAAATCCACAGCACACCTGTTGAACTGATACAGTCTTGTAAAGAAACCCAGATTGCTACTTCCTGGAGTGCTGCGCTCGACTCTGTGTAATGAAGATCCAGGGAAGTGATCCACTTGGATCCACAATGAAGATCCATGTGCAGCTACCGCCTGCTTGGGAAGTGAGGCTACTGCATGGAAAGAAACCTGTCATGAGTGTATCTGCTGCTTCTCCCAGCCCAGCGGGCATCACGTCCACCGTGTTTGTGGATGATTATGCTATGTTACACCTCTTTTCTGTCACTTACACTTGTAACCTTGCTGGACCTCTCTTGCAAATCAAACCAAGAACTTCCTTGTTTAGTTCAGAAAGAAGATACGGGACTCTACGACCTGACCTGAAAAGTCAGGTCAGCAGCCAACATGATAGATTAGCAACAGCGGCTGGCATTGACCCGGCATAAACCATTGTCAGAAAGATCTCTGCCAACTCTTAATCTCACAAAACAAACTAAGAGTTGCCCCGGGGGGGGGGGCGGTTATGGACATTGGGGAGGGTATGTGCTATGGTGAGTGCTGTGAAGTGTGTAAACCTGGCGATTCACAGACCTGTACCCCTGGGACTAATAATACATTATATGTTTATTAAAAATTTTAAAAAAATTATTAAAAAAAAACAACAAAGAAAGATCTCTGCCGATCTCTGCTACATTCTTGCCACTCTTCATCACCTTGCTCTGCACAGTGGCTGGGACACCAGGGGTGGGGACGACAGGGCACATACAATGCCATGGTGAGGTGGGCCGCATGCTAGCTGCTTCCCTGAGTCAGAGGCTCGTAAACCAAAGACAGAAAGGAGGCTTCCATGACCTGATCATGGAAAAGGCAGAGACCACTCTCCTTTATATAAAAGAAAGAAAAATGACATCATCTCATATCCTGTAAGTAATAAATGCTACAAAGCACTTGTGATGTACAGCTGAGGACATGACCCTCATTTCTACTTAACTTAGTCTTCCTTATTAACCCACTGTTTGATCCCCTTGGAGTTTCCTGCGAATCCCCAACACCCAACTCTCCTAAGATCCCAAGTATGATCTTCTGTCCTTGACTGTGCTCTCGATGCCTTCAACTCCTCATCTCTCTGTGTTCTGGATTCTTAAAGACAGAGAGCCTCCTCTCTTCGGGAGTATCCCAGAAGGCAGGGATTGACTTACTTGAATGCCCTTCCCAGGGGTGGAACACTTAGCTGGTGCTCTTTCTCCCCCCAGAAGCTTAGAACAAGCTTCTGCACTTAGGGGCACCCTTACTCAGCTTATGTCCCTTGCATTTCTTAACAACCCAACCCTGAGAGTATAAATCCAACAACCCAGCAGCAGGCAGTCCCCTTGAATCAGACTTACACGTAAGCCAGAGTGGCACTGAAGTGCTTGTAGATGTAGGTTTCAAGGACAGGATTAAAATGCTGGAACTTGATGTCTCCTATCAGTGAGATAATGAACACCTGCCAAAGGTGAAAAACATAGATAGCAGCACTGCACGACCCCAGGCATTGATTCTGTTAATAGGCCGGATGTTGGTTGGTATCTTGGTGCCTGCTTTTCTTTCTTGACCACTTCTGAAGCATTTCCACTTTACAATTCCAGAGCTGAAGTCAAGTCGTGGAGTTTCTTTTTATTTAACATTCAACAGAGAAACTATGATGTGTCAGGCACTGGACTAAATGATATGGAGAATCTAAGAGCCCGCCCCTGGCCTCAGGGAGCTCACTGTCTCCAAGAGAGGCCAGTGCACAAGCAAGATGAGTCAGGGAAGAAGATGGGGAGAGGCAGAAGAAAGACAAAAGAAAACTCGAACCCAAGGATGCAGCTGATGAATTATTTCGTGACCACACTCTCCCGAGTGCAGCGGGAGTGCCCCCAGTAACTCAAATTTATCAGACTTTTGTCTCTCAATTTCCCCTTTTTCTGGGAATGGTATCCCTATGAGGCACATAATAAAAAACCACCATGTGGCACCCACTGATGACAGAGAATGCAGAAGAAGGACCCCCGGGGTGATTGCATATACCCACTGCCAGCTGCTCCATCCCAGGAGAATCTGCAGACCCCATCCCACAGAACCCAGAACCATTCTTTTCCATGAATCTGGCTAGGTGAATCTCAGCGGGACCATTTCCTCTCTTTATTTTGTACCCTTAATGCCTTGACCACTTCTTGAATGTATTAATTTCTCTAAACTGGTGAAACAGCCAGCATTCCTTTGCTGCAACATCCAGGTAAATTCTGCATAGAATTTTAACCCCAACAATGAGAAAACATGCTTGGTTTGGATGTGTCGGCTTTCTCCACTCACTCCACCACGATTTGTAGCCTTCCAAGATTCTTTTTGTTTTTTAAGATTTTATTTGTTTATTTGACATAGAGTGAGAGAGCACAAGCAGAGGGAGCAGCAGAGGGAGGGGGAGAAACAGGTTCCCCGTTGAGCAAGGAACCTGAGATGGGGCTAGACTGCAGGACCCTGGGATCATGACCTGAGCTGAAGGCAGAAACCAACTGAGCCACCCAGGCAACCCGCCTTCCAAGACTCTAACATCATCTCTCCAGATGATCATCTCTCCAGATGACCCGTCTCCAGACGGGTCTGGATTTCAGTTTTTGGAATGGGCTGTATGTTGTACAGAATGAGACTGATACTCGTTTCCAATGTGTGAATTCAGTCTCCCTTGTATGAACGTACAAGCGCACACAACAGAGCCACAATCACCCTCATTAACGGTATCTCCTGGTTTATAACTAGGCAATTTTAAAGTTAAAGTGATTCCTGATTTCTAATGTAATATAATACCTCATTTACCCTAATGAGAAAGAAAGCATATCATGTAACAGAATAAAGTCTTTAAACATAAGTCAGTTGTTTTTTTTTTTTTAAGAATTTTTCTTTATTTATTTGACAGACAGATCACAAGTAGGCAGAGAGGCAGGCAGAGAGGGAGAGGGAAGCAAATTCCCTGCTGAGCAGAGAGCCCAGTGTGGGGCTTGATCCCAGGACCCTGAGATCATGACCTGAGCCAAAATCAGAGGCTTATCCCACTGAGCCACTCAGACACCCTATAAGTCAGTTGTTTCTTTTAACTTCCAGAAACAGAGAGATGTATCCACGTATTTGTGCAGATAGGATAATCACTGCAGTCATTTACAACAGCGAAATACTGAACACTACACAGTGGTGAGAATAAATTAGTTAATGTGTTTAAGTGCTTACCAGTGCATCAAACACGAGGAAGTCATAGGTTTCATTATCTGACATCTCCATCATTATGTTAAAAAGTGCATCTAGTGTATCTTGCAAAAACTGAACGTAAAACAGAGAGAGGTTATTTCATGCTTTCAGTTCAGCTCCATACTGTGAAAATTCAGAGAAATTAGGCTGCAATAGAATGAGTTTAAAAATAGCATTTCTTAAAAACTGGCACTTCTGCTTTCCAATGTAGATAACAAATTTTATATTTCTGACCACTGATTTAATTTGTAATATAGAACTAATGATACTGTGACTGTGTTTCTAACCACGAATACATAAACATACCTTAACAATCTCGCCTCCATCCACCTCCATTAACTTCTTTAAGTTGTGTTTAATGTTCTGGGAGTTGGAACGCCAATTTAACAAGCCCAACAGGTCAACTAGGAAGAATGACCACAAACCATAAAATCAGACATTGATTAGAAGAAGTAATGCACACTATTTCAGGATATAACTACAGAACTCTCTAGAAAAGATAACTGTTCTTAATAATGGATAATTCCTTGTGTATTTTTTTTTAATTTATGTCTCCTATCTAGACCAGAAAAAACCTTGCAGTCTTTCAGTCTTCAGAGAAAAAAATTAACCACTAATACATGAGAACATAAAATTGAATTCCTGAATGGAAGTCATATTTCTGAAATGATTACATCATAACCATATAGATGAAAAGTTAGAAACATTTAAAAAAAAAGATTTTATTTATTTATTTGAGAGACAGCAAGTGAGAATGAGCTGGAGTGGGGAGGGGCAGAGGGAGAAGCAGACTCCACACTGAATACAGAGCTTGACTTGGAACTCGATCCCCCAACCTGAGATCATGACCTGAGCCAAAATCAAGAATCAGATGCTTAACTGACTGGGCCACACAGGCATCCTAAAAACACTCTTAAGGAAACTTCATATCTTCAATTTGCTGCACTGCTTAATTCATCCCTTGCCACTATGTGTATCTCAGTGGATAAAAAGGGAAAAGGGAACTTATATACATATACACTGATACATTTATTTCTTAAAAGATCTTTTCACTTATTTTAGAGAGAGAGAGAGAGAGACAGAGAAAGGGAGGGAGAGAGAGCATGAGCAGAGGGAAAGGAAGACAGAATCTCAAGCAGACTCCACAATGAACACAGAGTCTGACATGGGGCTCCATCTCGAGTCTGAGCCGAAACCAAGAGCTGGATGCTTAACCAACTGAGCTACCCAACTGCCCCACACTAATCCATTTAAACACTGCATCCACAGTGTAGAGACGGCATTTTTTTCCATTTTTTCAGTTGATGAAACTGAGGCCTTTATAAAATTAAATAACTTGCCTTAGGTCGTATAATGTCCAGGGAGTGCTATGAGTGGGATTTAATTATAGATTTATCTGATTCCCAAAAAACCATGTCCTTGCGACTCTATCACACTGCCTTCCGAGAGTTCTTCAAAGAAACAGACAAGCAAATCCGACAGACTGCTATTTCAAAGGAAGGAGGAACAGATTCACTGTCCTTGGGGTAAGACTGTGACAGAAATCTTGAGGTGTATTTGGATTTAAAGTGTAGAATTATGGATCTTTAAGCCACTTATAGTTTTAATCAATGTTGAAAGTGTCACAGTGAAATGTAACAGGCATCTGGGCTGTTACTATTTTGTCATTTTGTGTGGTACATTAAGCTACTATTCCAATTTACAGAGCATTATCTAGTATAAGTAGCACACATGCTTCTTAATCAATGGACTTGTATAATATACAGAAGTCATTAAAAACATACACTGTTCATTAGAATAGCCCATTTGCTTCATGAGTGTTTGCTTTATTGGCTTGTTTTATTAGCTTTAGTCCCTGGGAAACCTCCAAAATCCAGTGCCTAGACTTCTCTCTGTCAACAGAATAAAGTCACGATACCACTCATAGAAGGGGGTGAGGCCTCACCCATGGCCTTCCTGCCAGCCCATCGCCGACCATTTTGTTACCCCTCAGCAACCAGACAGATCAGATCACTACTCCCCAGACTGTGGCACACTCTGATAGATCCAGGTCTTTCCATATGGTCTTCCCTTTGTCTGAAATGACCAGATATTATTCAACACTATACTTATACTTATACTTATACTTATACTTATGTTTAAGACCCACCTCAAATCATTCTGCGCTATTTGTACTCTTTCCTACATATACATATGCATATACGTAGACAAACATAGCGAATAATAAAGACACACTTGGTATTTCTTTGGCTCTTCCCACAGACTTGAGCCATTTGAGGGCAGGAATCATGTTACATTCATTGTGATATGCCATCATGGCACCAGGTGCCATGTTTGCTGCAGAATAAATATTTGGGTGGAAAGGGAACCGGGAGCCCTGAAGGAACAGGCAGTGTGCCCGACACAGTTCTTGGATTTACTCATTTGTTCAGTTAGCACTTAGTAATAGACCGTGTGCTGGGCTTGTCCACTTCCCATCTCCTACTTCCACCAGAGGCAAGTCAATGGTATGGCTCCATTTGTTACTTCCCTCCACTAGTTGCTGCCTGAGGAAAAGGATTTAGATACTTCGCCAGAGTGAAGAGTCACTTGGCAGCTTTAAGCATCTGCAAACAACTCTTCTATCAGCCCAGAGGTTTACGCCCTAGAAATATTTGCATGCCACATCACTGGCAGTGTCAGGAACAGAGCTGGCATCTGGTGAATCATAAGGTCCTGGGGCTAGAAAAGCAGAGGCCCCATTAGAGCAAAGTCCCCAGACTTCCTGTGCTCCTGAGACTCAAGTGGGTTGAGGCAAATGGCTCTAGTTAATTCCTGTCAGTTTCTAACTAGTATCTCTCCTCTTGGGCGGATGCACCACACTGTGTTTGTCCATTCCACGGCTGATAAACACTGGAGTTCTTCACAGTTTTTTCTATTTATCACAAACAATTCTGCCATGAACATTCCCAGGCATCTCCTGGTTTCCAGGTACAGCAGTTTCTCTGGGCAATAAATCTAGAATGGAATTTCATCCAAATGTTATCCAAAGTCCTCTCAATTGACGTCCTTCCCCAAAGTATTTAAGAATTCGGGATAGTCTGATATGACAATCCCCAAATTTAGGCCAGTGACTACTTTGGGCAAAGGATTAGAGACCATAACACTTAAAAAAGAAAAATAAAGAAAAACCGTTAAGTTTTGGGGTTACAAATATCTATTTTCAGATCCATGCCCACTACTTATGAACTTAGACAAAATATTCTGGAACTTTAATTCAACTTTCTGATCGAAACAGGAGAATAATGGCAATGCCGGCATCTTCGTGTGTTAGGGTTTGGAGAGTAAGATAAGATGACTCTGGGAATCGTGTGGCACCAGGCCCCACAACTGCAAGGACCTGAACTCCCTTCTCCCTTTGTTGGAGCCACAAATCTATTCTTAGCCTCCATAGGGGTCCAGTAACAAATGGTCCCATGTAAATCGGGCCTGATCTAGTTTTGAAAAAAATTTATAAATGAAGAGTCTACAAGCTCTGTTTGCAACAATGGCCTGTGGCTTTTGACCTTTAGAATCTGAATAGTCCTTTGTAAGGCTAAGGAGAAATGCCCTTGGTCATGGTCTCTGTAAAAGAACCGCCACCCTCTTTATCAGGAAGTGCCCTCTCGGAGTGGAGGGTTTCTTACTGTTCTTCAGCTTCCTCTTTCTCAGAACACATTAACGTGGTTCCTTATAACTTCCATCCAATTAGAAGAAATCAAATACATGAACCACCCACAATCCTTATTATCGTTATTTGTCCCTCAGAATGTGTCCTCTGATGCTCGGATGTCCCACTGTTCCCTTCACTTTTCGCACATCTGTCCTCCCTCCCAACCCACCCTGGCCCTGAGGATATCGCATCTCTCTTCCCTGGTTCCCATGAATTTGCCTCTTTCAACCTTCTTTGGTGTAGGTTATTGTATGACTTTGGTTTGGTTTGGTCTGGTTTGTATTTGAGTTTTTTTGAGACCTAACCACTAGGAATGGGGTGGACAACAAAGCAGAGAGCAGTTCCACCTGATGGAACTTTCTGGGATGACGGCAACGCTGTTTGTCTAAGAGCCAACACGAAAGCCACCAGCAGCACGAAACCATGGAACCCCCGAAACGAGACTAGAGCAACCATACTTCCCTCTGACACTAACTAAATTTCACAAGCTCCACATGCCTGGTGACTGCCATAGGGGACAGCACAGCTTTAGAACATCTAGAAGATGAGCGATGCAGATACCGGCAAATCAAGTGTCTGAGTACTGCCACCTGTCCATACGCTTCCTGTATTTCTGACTGAAGATAAGAAACAATTTAACTATATGGTTATGTTTCATGGAAATTCCTTCTGCTTTCCATTAAAAGTTAATTTTAGCTACTTTGGTCACTTGCTTTACTTTGAAGTCTAATCTCTGGAAAGGATAATCTATTGGATAAATTCCATCTTTCTTCACTATCTCTTAAAAGTCCCCAAAGCACATTAAGTCTTTGTATTGCCTGCTGCCATACTTACAAAAATACCATTTTAACATTTCAGAGTTAGAGGATTGGAAAGTAACAGAAAGAGCACAGAAAATAAACGCTGTCCCAACTTCTGGCATCTTTCCCTTTAGTACTTTCCTGCGTATATATGACAATGTTGATGGTGATGACGATGGTGGTGGTCGTGGAGGCTAATATTCACATAGTTTATAATGGGCGAGACACATGTTCTGCTTTTACTTAATTTACTTCATTCTTTAAGTATACACTAGTATCACTCCCATTTTAAAGATGAGGACACTGAGTCACAAAGAAGACATGTGGCCTGCCTGAGATGCAACAGCTAGAGTCAGGGTTGGGATTTGAACCCAGGAAATTGGCTCCAAATTGTCAACATGTACCTAGGCAAATTAGGATTATACCCTGCCTAGGGCTCAAGTTTTCACGTCTTTGATTACATTTTGACAGATATTTGGCAGCTGCACATATGTCATTTAATTACATGATCATGTCCCCAATTATTGGACATGTGGATTATTTCCGCTATTCCCCTATTATGAGTAATACGGAGACATCTTCATACATGAATCTCTGTGCTCGTCTTTCATTGTTTACTTAAGTTTCATTTCTAGGAGTGAGGTAAGTGGCTCAAAGGGTCTGAATATATTCAAAACCTTTGATACACCTTCTAAGTCATCTTCTGTCAATACTGTATCATTTAACCCGGTGCCCGCAGTTTCTTACATTGGCTTTTTCCCTAAGAAGGATTAGGTCACTGATAGAGTTCGTCATGTTGTCTATGAAGCTCAGAATGTTTTCTGGTATATTTTTGTTTTTCTCTTAATAGACTTTGTTTTTCTGGGAGCAGTTTTAGGTTTACTGAAAAATGAAGCACAAAGTACAGAGAGTTCGCACATACGCTCCCCGTGCACCCAGCTCCTCTACCATTAACATCTTGTATTAGTGTAGTACATCTTGGAACTGGTGACCTAATATTAATAGCGTTCGTGAACTGAAGTCCACAGTTTATGTTAGGGTTTTTTCTGTGTAGCTCATTCTGCAGCTTTTGACAAATGCGTAATGACGTGTATCCATGGATCCATCGTGGTTCCGTGTAGTGTAGCTTTGCTGCCCTAGAAATCCCCTGTGCTCTGCCTACTCATCCCTCCTCCTCCCTCTAAGGCCTCTGCAACCATGAAACTTTTCACTGTCTCCACAGCTTGGCCTTGTTTCTGGCTTAATTCTTGGTGAGTGTGTTTGTACTTTTCGCATATGTATCAGCTCTGTACTTCACACTGTTGAGTCTGGCCCCTTGTCCAAGTTGAAATACTATCCGTGTTCTCTAGCCAACCATGATTCATCAAAACAAACACTACTGACCCCTTTTAAAGATCAACCAACATCTGATCCCTGAGTGTACCTCTTCTGTCTAAACTGTTTTGTCTATTCCTTAGCACTTCGGTAAGGCAGAGTCCCAGCAGTGTTCCTCACCCAAATCTCCTAAAAGGCCAAAGTGACTAATCCTCTATCCATCATAGGGGCTATAGGATTTCGAAGGCAAGTTACCAGAGTTCCTTATTCTTGGCTCACTATGTTCAGCAGGACCCCTTACCCGTAAGTTAACTGAATGAAAAGCCATTATTGGATATCAAATGCCATTGTATATACAGAAGAGAAGTTAAAGTTGATACCAGAGATTTCAAGAAGGAACAAAGCGAGGCCCATCTGAACTATTCAGGTGATTTCATGAAAAGCCCTCAACTGCTTGGGAAAAAATGGGAAAGAGGAGGCTCGGTGGGGAGGGGGCAGATGGAATTCTAACAGGAAACCCTTCCTGCTTTTGGCCACACCTGTTTGGGCAAGAGACAAGTTCTTTTTCTCTATAAGTACCCTCCCCCTAATTACCAACATCTGTTGTTTCATATTTTAAAGATTTTTTTTATTTATTTATTGACAGACAGAGATCACAAGTAGGCAGAGAGGAAGGCAGAGAGAGAGGAGGAAGCAGGCTCCCCGCGAGCAGAGAGCCCGACGTGGGACTCGATCCCAGGACCCTGGGATCATGACCCGAGCTGAAGGCAGAGGCTTTAACCCGCTGAGCCACCCAGGCGCCCCTGTTGTTTCATATTTTATTACAGAGTACATTATCAGAGCTCTTTGCTGCCGTGAAGGAAGGAAACATAAAACAAAAAATTTTTCAGCCTCTGTTCATGAATTACATTTACAGGTTGTATGATCTTAAGCAATACAAACTACTTTTCATCCTATTTGGAAGATAGGCAAGATAACCTCAGACTGAGCGTGAGCTTTGCGACCAGTGGCACCCAGAATATCACATGAAGGGCAGGGAGTAGAATCCGAAGTGCCCCGCATCCGGCCTTGGAAGACACCCATGTGGCCCAGCCCTACTGGGTCCAACAAAGGAGCCCAGGTACACCAAAGAGAAAACCCATTGTGGGGTCACCTACCATTCTGGGTGAGTTTTGTGGAGCAAATGAGGGTGGCGATCTGAAAGCTGTCTTTTGTGCTGTCCTTGCTTGGGGTAAAGTTGGCCAGGGTTTTGGATGCTTGCAGCTCTTTTTCTTCCATCTCGACCTTGGTTCCCGGTAGGGTCAGATAGAATTTAACATCTTCCATTTTCTTGTTGTCACCCTGAAAAGGAAGTGGGTGAGGGACACCAAATGATGGGCAAATAACAGTAGTTTCTATCATGAGCACATGATCCAGGGAGTGAAACACGGTTTTATCAAATTACACTTATGTTCCTTCCAACTCTAAGACACTGTGATACTTCTCCAGGACTGGAGCCCAGAATAATTTCAACACCGAATAAAACTAGAAATAGTTGTGAACTACTAACTGAGAACATCCTAGATCTCTGAAATAAATAAATAAGTAAATATGAAGGACCGAGGTTCGATTTCATTTTCTTGAACCTATAAATGGTCAGAATGATGCGTCATTGGGTTGAGGGGATGACTGGATTCATTGGGAGGGAACAGCTTGCCACGCCTTCCAAAACATCAGGAGCTGTTAAACGGAAGACCCACACCAAGTAGATGCGGCTCAAAGAAGCTACCGGTTCTGTGATATCGTTAGATAAACGAGACCTTCCTGGGTCTTACTTTCCACTCAAAAAATCTCAGAAGATAATTTCATAGCAGTTAAAGAGTGAGGACCGAACAGCTGGGGAAGGAAGCAAGGGCCCAAAGCAGAGAAATGGTGCCTGGCTCTGGGCGATATGAAAACCACATCCTACCACACCCACCACACCCTCCACCAGGCCCAACAGTGCAACTGTCTCTGTCCCATGCAGGACGATGCAGAGGAGAGGCAAGGGGCAGCCCTCGACCACCCACCGCCACAGAACTCCGCTGCAGGCGACGGAGATGTTCTTCAGAGGCCCTGACATTTATACAACTCACTCCTCATACAAAGGGGAAGGGAGACCCTGCAGCTGGAGCCCTCTGGCTTTCTAGACTTAAGGGGCCAACACTTATGGCTCCAGAGAAGTGTCTGATGTTTATCCACGTAATTCTGACTGGAGCCTCGAGAACCCATTTCAGAGGGAGTAAATATTTCCCAAGTCATTTTCTGAGCCTCGTTCTGTGAGCAGCACCTTATAAACCACCAGATCATGCCTCCCATCCTGCAGAGTGGTACCGTCCGGGTTCATCAGTTTCACGAAGGCCACGCCAAAGGCCCGCTCCGATTTATCTCTGGCTGAAAAGACAGAAATTCGGGTCTGAGCAGTGTGGAACGGCAGCTGGAAGCGCTGGCTATAACGGACAATTTCTCATTTTGCTCCAGGCTGTGAGACTGGGTCACGCTCTCATCAACACCATTCAGCAAGCTACAATAAGCCACGTGTACTGCGCTCGCCATGGGCCCCTCAAAGGAAATATTCCCCAGGCTGAAATCTTCTAGTACCTTCATGCTCTGTTCTTCTTCCCACGTTTGCAAATGAGTGAGACCAGCAACTACCCCCTCACCCAAATCAGAAATGCGGACGTTGACACTACCTTCCCCCCACATGTCAACTCTAGGTACTGAAGACCTCCGAAACCTCTGCCTTTCCTCTCCCTCCGTTCTGTTCCTAACCTACTTCCATTCAAGTCTCCCCTGTGTTTCTAGAGGATCTTTCTAAGCAGTCCTTGTCTCCACACTGCAGAGAGAGATTTCCAAAAACAGATCTAATCAGTCAACCAAACACCTTCAGGAGATACATTTCTGCTGCTTTAAGGTAGACTCAGCGAAGTATTCATTATATTCCCAGGTTTATTATGCCGCCTCTTCCTTCCAAGAGAGTACCCCAGGTGCCAGGAGGGTCCAGCCTCCCCCAGGAAGCAGAGCACCTTCCTCTGGATCTTTAGGTGTTGGCTTTTGAGCTCACTGTCCCCCAACTAGGTGTTGATGCCGGGGGCAACCTGTGGCCGGCTCTCATCACACGCACAGCTCTGAGGTCAGCTGTTGCCTCACGTGCCCCTAGATCGGCTGAGGAGTAAACCACTATAGGATTACATTACCACTTATTTATCCATTGTCTTGTTGGTGGCCATTAGGCTATATCCAATGTGGGGATATTATGAATAAAGCTGTTATAAACATACACCAAACCACAACCACCACCACAGAGCACCCATAACATCTTTTAAGGGCTCCTCCATAACCTCATTCAAATTAATCTTCATCTTTCACGATGTGGCTCTAGTCTGCCTGGATTCAGACCGCTGAAGTGTCAGTCTGGGCTCTGTCACTCCCCAGCTCCACGACCCCAGGCAAGGATCTCATTTCTCTGGGCTCAGTTTCCTTTTTGTATAAATGTGGATAAAAGCATTATGTATCTTATCAGGTGACTGTGGACACTACACAACACATAAGTAGAGATTCTTTTAGTGTCTCATCCAAACTAAGGGCCTGATAAATGTTATTTCTGTAGAACCAGAGGAAATTGCTGATATTTGCCTTTTGGATGCTGACCCCCCAGAACGACAATTTCGTGGCGTTCAACCTAACATTATGACTGCTCCCACTGCTCTCACTTCAGCCCTACTGCATTCACCTTGTGGGTTTCGAACACATTTCTCCACCACCACTCCTCCCTGGGCTGACCTCGGTTCCTTCTACAACAGCAAGTCTCAGTTAGGATGTCGAGATCACACATGGATGACAGGGTTGGACGCTGTGCTACATGGTCCCTTACAGCTCCTTGCTGCCGTGCACCAACCACACTGCTCTGACCTTAGTTGCCTTTTCCCTTGCTCATCTTCCTAACCAGAGCAGCAGAGACTTCAGAGCACTACCCGTGTCCTAGCCTGTGAAACCCTTATAGGGCACCGTTTAACATCATACAGAACCTTAACATTCACAGAACCCATTTTGGGGAAATCCTTGTTAAAAAAATTTTTTTTTATTGAAATTCAACTTAGTTAACATAAATTTATTATTAGTTTCAGGCACAGAGTTTAGTGATTCACTGGTCGCATATAACACCCAGTGCTCATCACATCACATGCCTCCTTAACGCCCATCACCCAGGTAGCCCATGCCCCCACACTCGTCCGGCAACCCTCAATTTGTTCCCTAGAGTTAGGAGTCTCTTATGGTCTGCCTTCCTCTCTGTTTTTATCTTATTTTATTTTTCCTTCCCTTCCCCTATGTTCACCCGTTTTGTTCCTTAAATTCCACATATGAGTGACAGCATATGGTCTTTGTCTTTCTGATTTCCTTAGCACCACATGAATCCTGAAGTAATGATGTGAAGGACCTAGTTTCCAAGTATTTTGATTTCCAGACCCATGCAAGTACCGACAAGCAAGAGTATATATATATATATATATATATATATATATATATATATATATATATTTTTTATAATTTTTTATTTTTTGTATATATATTTTAACAGAAATATGTTGCCGACCTTCTAGTACTTACATTCCTGAGATGACCTGTGCCGGAAGGTAAATCGTATATGGCAGCGAGTAACCTCCTCTATAGCAATGGAAACCTACGCAGTGATAAGAAACTTATAGTTGGTATTTCCACAGCATGTTGCACTCTTAGCTCATCTGACAGAGCTGGTTCATTTTCAGTATCTTATTAAAGCACTAATTTCTACACAGTGAGATTGACAGTAAAGTTCCATTCAAAACAGATGGAGTTATTTCCAAAACCTAAAGAATCTCAAGAGAAATTATCTTTGCCATTTGTCAGGGATTCTGAGGATGGAGATATTACAAGTTTCTAGTACTTTCTCAAGCATGAAAGGGGAAAGATTTCAGAGGAGAAAGACCAGGACTGTGGGGTCAATCTATGCAGGAGCTTCCAGACTGCAAGGTGTATTGTATGTTTATTGATATGGTAATAACGAAGGTCCATACCCAGGAAGAAAAGACAGAATACTGGGGACAAGGAAGCTTTTTGCTGTTTATGTATATAGAGGGGACAAGAAAAACAAGTTCATGGCAATGAAAAGGGCAGAGAATTTGTGGCAAATAGTTAAATAAATTATAGCATGATCATATAACGGAATATTACCCAAGTACCTAGAAACCCATTTCCAAAGAACCCTTAATGCCTTGAGATAAGTAGTTTTAAAAAGCACAATACACATCTGTTATAAACACCACATTCCAAAACATATGAAGCATACAAAGTTGTGGAAAATAATCACTTCTGCATTGAGATATTAGCGCAATTTTTTTTTTTGAGTTTTCTAGGGAGAGCTCATAAGACTTTCACAATCCAATTTGACTATGACAATCTGGGATTCAGAAGTGGGCTCCAATTTAGGTTTGGACACTAAGCTGTTATAGGATCTTGGAAAAATCACCTGACATTTTTGAGCCTTCCTTACCTAATCAGAAAGGGCATTACGACACTGTTTTAGCCACAGGGTACTGAGCGACTCACAGAGCATGGCTTATCTGAAAAGTACCTGGGAATTTGTAATACACATATTTAAATTGAAAAGAGGCCCAGAAAACTTGGTCAGAGGCCAGGAAGGAAAAAATGTTAGGCAACTGCTCGCTGAGTGTGAAAATTTCCATTTGGTTTTGGATGGTCATGGCAGCCTATTACATCATTACGACTATCAGCGTCTCTAGTCAAATTTGTACACATTTATCAATGAGAACGTTATTTAAGAACTCTGAGTTAAAGATAAATACTCTCATGCAGAATTGCATCAATTCATTTCTTATAGGACACCGTACCAACCCACTATAACTACAGGATAAAGAAGGAATGATTTGTGGGTAGAAAAGAAGAAAGGAATCCACATGAGGTTTGACATATGAAGGAGATTACAAATGGTGCATCTCACCTTGACAGTCTCATACCAACAGGGCTGCTTGACTTGGTAATAGACTACTGATTTGTACTCTGAAATGCCTTCATATCCAGCACCAGGATGAATTGCTTTCTTTGGATGGAAAGAAAAATTAAAAGATGATTTTTTGACTGCTTTTTATTTTAATTCCAGTAGAGTGGACATACAGTGTTGTATTAGTTTCCAGTGCATAATACAGAGATTTGACAATTCTATACATTACTCAGCGCTCATCGCCGGTGTTCTCTGCAGCCAACCCCTGTTTTACCCATCCCCCCACCCACCTTGTCTGGTAGCCATCTGTTCTCTATGGTTAAGAATCGGTTTCTTGGTTTGTCTCTGTTTTCTTCCCCTTCCCCTTCTTCCTCTTCCCCTCGTTTGTTTTGTTTCTTAAATTCCACACATGAGTGAAGTCATATAATATTTGTCTTTGTCTGAGTAACTTATTTCGCTTAGCATAATACTCTCTAGCTCTGCCCAGGTTGTTGCAAATGGCAATATTTCATTCTTTTGATGGCTGGGTAATAACCCATTGTGTGTATATACCCATCTTCCTTATCCACTCATCAGCTGATGGACACTGGGCTGTTTCCATAATTTGGCTGTTGTAGATAACGCTGCTGTAAACATAGGGGTGCATGTATCCCTCAGAGTTAGTGTTTTTGTCTTTTGGGAGTAAATACTAAAAGGGAATAACTTCATCAAGAAAAATAAGAGCACTCCACACACCACGTGTGAGCCCTCTACCCTCCACGCGGCCAGCGAGTGGCCCTCACTGGCACATAGCAGCCAGTCGCACTTGGAGGCTGAAGAGCAGGGGGAAGAATGAGTTTCTGCTCCTTTGTTTGAGGGTGTAAGTACAGAACTGCGTAGTCACTAAGGGACACAGCGTCACCCTAACACTCCCATGCCGTAAACTTCATTCTCTCTTCCATCTGCAGACAAACATTCTCCTTCCTTCCTCTTCCTTTCTCTCTCAGGAAGCAGCAGGCCGGTACAGGTGACCGGAAGCCGTGGCACACGTGCAGATGCACCACTGCAGGAGGTCCCGTCTGTGCTCTGCTTTAAGGACCTGGTGTACAGGTCTAGTGTGTTCACTAAAACTCAGGGCTGTGTCTTCTCCTGGTAATGAGTCACTTACTTCAGTAAAACCAGGCCTCAAAGGGGTCACTTCCAACCTAGTTAGCAAAGCTGTGATGGGAGCCATCAGGAGAAGATGCACCCCTGAACTCACGGGGCTCAAGGGCTCTATCAGTAGCACAAAGAAGTCACCCCCCTACCAGGGCCCACCACATTGTTTGCCCCCCCAACACTGACTATGACTTCATTCAGACCCCTGTTGCCTTCAAAGGTGATCATGCAAATGGGGAAGGAAGGGGGTGCGCCCTCTGCCATGCCCTCACGGACTCTGGTGAGCAGGCACTCAAAGAGCTTGGGTCTTCAGTGCAACAGAAGGTAACTAGTGGTAACTACAGCTCATATCGGGGAAGCTGGATCTCAGCTGAGACAATAAGAGCCTCCGTGATTTCAGAATCAACAACCACTACTTCTCTGTCTGGACAGAAGGCTGCCATGGGTGGAGGAACTCCAGACTGAAAGCCAGGATACCTGGATCTAGTCTTACCTCCTCCACGACCTTCTGTAATTCTTACCCCTTTTGGGTTGCAGTTTCCTGATTACTAAAACAAAACCTAAAGACCAGGGGGAGTGACCCAAGAGCTCTACCAGTTTAACAGCTCTCTACAGGCAGTATCTCCTCTGGTTCTCTGGCTCGGTACCCACAGTGCCTTCTGGGCACCCATGCCACCCACTCCATCCCAGCCCCACAAGCCCTACCAGGCTTGAAACTGGCCAAATAACTTGCAAATGATACAGAACTTCTGGATCAGAAGCATAAACATGAAATCAATAGGGGCTGGAAATACTTCTTAGAACAGGAGAAATAATGAAAATAAGAGTCTATAGTCGGTTAAGTGGCTGCCTTCGGCTCTGGTCATGATCCTGGGGTCCTGGGATCGAGCCCACAACGGGCTCCCTGCTAATCAGTGAGCCTGCTTCTCCCTCTCCCTCTGCTACTCTCCCTGCTTGTGCTCTATTTCTGTCAAATAAAATCTTCTAAAAAAAATTTAAATTTTGAAAATAAGAGTCTAAATGGGTTCCTCAGTAAACTCAGTAATTGCTAATCACAAGTTTAATAGGTTTCATCCCTTTTCCTTATGAAGAAAGCAAACACACACTAACATGGAGAGCAAGTCACCTCAGACCAAAGTCCTCTGTTGGAAAGAAGTGTGTGATGGCAGCAGGACTTCTGGGTGGTCCCACCTACCTCCAAGAGCTTGCCCTCCTCATCGTACACAGACATGGTCACCTCCACGTTCTTCGGCGTCTTCTTTTTCCCTTTGTCAAACTCCCCGTGGATTAGGGTGACGTATATATCATTCCGCACGTCACCTACGAAAGGACAACCCATCCTGTGAGCAGTACTCAGAGAGTCACTTTGAATTTTCAGGATGTAATAAGATATAACATGTACATAAAATATGAAATGCTCTGACTTGGGGCGCATGGGGGGCTAAGTCGGTTAAGCGTCTGCCTTGGGTTCAGGTCATGATCTCGGGGTCCTGGGATCAAGGCCTGCGTTGGGCTCCCTGCTCCGTGGGGAGTCTGCTTCTTCCTCTGGCCCTTCCCCTACCAACTGTACTCTCTCTTTCACTCACTCTCTCTCTCTCTCTCTCAGATAAATAAAATCTTAACAACAACAAAAGAAATGCTCTGACTTTATAGGGAGTTATTCACAGAGCAGAAGTGTGTGTATGTATTGTCCTCTTCTGCTTCCCTCACCCTATCTTTCCATATACACCAAAGTAGCCCTAAAAGGTAGTGTTTAAAACAAACTCTTTTCAACAGTAATCCTTTGTTCTATTTATTAATAACTGTTTTCTAATAATAAGTACACAATGTATTTTATTAGGTTCCAGCGGCAGATTTTTTTTTTTAGTATGCCTTGGAGGGTGGTATTCTAACACATCTGAAAATAACAGAAGCTAACATTTATTGGGTATTTCCTCTGTGCTAGGCACTGTTCAACATGTCTTATAGGTAAACATTACGTTTATTTAAATCAGCTTAATTGTTTTTACCAGGACCAGAATCATCTCTGCTTGTCATATTCCTAGTTGTCCAGCAAAAAATTTTAATAACTAATTAGCAAATGAATAGCCCCCACAGGGAAGAAAAAAATTGAATGTTAGTAAGACGCTTAAACAAAACCTAGAACGAATGAAAGGCATCCCAAGTTCCTGGCCAGGAAGGCTCGGTATTATAAAAAGGACTCCAAAATCTGTACTGTATTAAACTGCCCCCCAATGTAAAAAAAATAAAACATTCCAGCACGATAAGAAAACAGGGGGCGCACATTTAGAGCACTTTTCATTCCCATCACTTCCAGCACGATAAGAAAACAGGGGGCGCACATTTAGAGCACTTTTCATTCCCATCACTCATCTGCTTAGGAAAAAATTAAGGTCTTGCTCGCAGTTGGCTAAGGTTAAGCAAAAGAGGCTTATTCATACAACATAGTTCAAAATCTTCACGGACATACACTTTGTCAATAGAGGAATTGATAATTTGTGTTAAAAGCCTTATCGGAAAAAGCAACTTCACTGGTAATATTTGTCCCACAGTGTTAAGAATTCAAGCAAAGATTTATCTATGAGGATATTTACTATGATATTGTTTACTAAAGTGAAAACTTGGAAAATCCTCAATTTCCAACAATAGGCAGCATTCTGAATAAATTACAGAATAATCAGATGAGATAATTTCATTTATTCATATAAAAAACTCACTGAGCACCTGCTGTGTACCAAGCACTGTGCCAGGTGTTTGGGAGACAATGGTGAGCCATGCACCAGGCTCACTCTCACACAGCCTATGGTCTAGCGGAGGAGAGAAACCATTAGCAGAAAATCACAGACAAAATGCATCATTATCAATGAAGGAAAAGGTCAGGCTCTGTGAAGGCATAACACTAAGTCCCAACTGTGTCTGGAGGCTGTGAGAATCTTTCCTCTGAGCTGATATTGGAGATTGGAGACAGGAGAGTAAAAAAGTGCAAATGTAGTATGTGCAAAGGTCCAGAGGCAGTAGACAGGATCGTGGTCTAAACATACGGTTTGTCCAGGGAACTGATGGCAGCAGCTACCACTAATGTAGCTACTGCAATGGAGAAGGGGAGATGTGAATGGACTCGAAGCCTTCCAAAGGTAAAACTGACAAGTCTTAGTCTCTAACTTTATGTAAGGTGTAAAGGAAAGGGAGGTTCAAGGCTGACTTTCAGGCTTCTTGTTGGTGCAACTGGATGGACAAGGGTGCCATTCTCTTAGATAAAATACAACAGAAGAGCTAGTCTAGATGCAAAGACCACAAGTTCCAGATGGGGATTCTGAGTAAGAATTAACCCGTAAGAGGAGAAGAGAGATCCAGTCAGGTAGGAACAGTAGTACTGAAGTCCTGGGGCAGGCAATAATTGGATCTATGGTACCGGAGTTCAAAGGAGCGGTCTTGGGGCTAAGGAAATGGATTTAGAGACAACTAGTTCACAGAGGCAAAATGAGTGTATGAGATCACACAGGAAGAGGATATGGGTATGAGAAGGAAAAGAGGCCTGCTGTGGACTGAACTGTTCCCCCTAAATTCATACGCCTAGGCCCTCACCCCTAATACCTCCAAATGCGACTGTATTTAGAGATGGGCCCCTTAAACGGATGACTAAGGTAAAATGAGGTCATAAAGTGGGCACTAATCCAAACTAACTGGTGTCCTTATAACAACAGATTAGACCCGGGGGTGCCATGTGAGGACGCAGTGAGAAGAAGGCCATCTCTAAGCCAAGGAGGGACATTTGCAAGAACCAACCCCACTGACATCTCAGACTTCTGGCTTCCAGAAGTATGAGAAGATAAGTGTCTATTGTCGAAGCTGCCCAGCCCTGTGGGTACTTTAATAGGGCAGCTCGAGCAAACTAACAGAGACATAAGGACCAGATGCTGAGGAACTCCAACATTTAAAGGCAGGGTAGGTGACATGGTGGCAAAGGGAAATGGAGACAAAGAGGCGAACATAGGTCCCTGATGATGAAGGCACACTGTTTCCCCAAGGGGGTGGTCAACAGTGTCATATGCTGCTGAGGGAACCCGAGATAATCTTTAGGCTAAAAAATATCCACTGGACCTAGTGACATCCACTCTCGGGTAACTCTAGTGACACCATTCTGGTCAGAACAGAGGGTGACTGGCAGATGCAGAAGAAGAGATAGAGCATGTTATGTGATGGCTTCTGAGATTCTGGTTGTGCAGATGACGGAGACAACAGGAGCGCCTGGGCTAGAGGGGAAAGTCGGGCTGAGGGAATGGCTTCGGGCACCTCTGTAGCCTGTTCGAAAGGGGATGAGGAGCGACAAGGTAAGGAATCTTGGTCTGGACTTATTTCTCAAAACTGGCTGATCACCAGAATCATCAGGGGAGCCCTGGTTTTACAAACTGAAATCAAGTCTCTTGATCACTGTGGGAACCTGTACTGTAATGTTTCTGAGCTGATCCAAAGACCAGCATTTGGGCGCCACTGTCCTAGGTGATTACCTGAGCCTATGATGGCCCTGGCGGTCCAGGAACCAAGCCTATTGACTAGAAAGATGAGAAAGAATCTTGCCAGCCAGATTTCAAAGACAAATTCACTTTGTTTCCAAAAATAAACGTCTCCGTGTTATTGTTTCAGATTTTCACTCTTGCTGTCGTAGTAACACTGCCTTCGGTTATAGGGGTATCACCAGTGCTTATTTCTTTTTAAACAAGAAGACAAAACACTTTCACAGAATGAAGATGAAGACACACTGGGCTGAGTGAGTCTGGAAGGGATGACATCAGCAGATAAAGAACCACCTTCTTCCACAAGAAAAAAAAAAGATGGTCTCCGTTTTACAGACAGCTTTTTCCTACTCATTCTTTTTAATGCCAACTACGTGCAGATGATGTGTGTGGCAATGTGTCATCACTGCCCCTTCCTCTCCGGAAGGAAGAATAAGATGTTGTGTTACTTTAATGGAACCCCAAGTTTTATATAGAAGACAACAGCATGGTTTTCTAAAATTTTCCTAACATGCCAAAGGTTACTTACTTATACATTCTACTTACTTATCTGTAAAAATATATATATCTTAATATTTATAACACATATGCTTTATGTAATACACATACATATCTTATAGAAAGTCACTTGAAATGATTTCTTTTATTACTATAAAGATTAAGAAATCAAATGGGTTAAGTCTGCAAATTTAAGAGAACACCTGTGCAGATCACCAACATATGGTGACAGAAAAGACAAAATGAAAGTAAGAAAACCGTGGAATGTTTACATTCTTATGACCACATGTATGGGGACAGCCAAGAGCACAGTTGGAGATTAAGCAAATGGAACAAAGTGTCTGACAGACACTGAGCTGAGGAGGCCCCTCACTGGAACTTCTCGGCCAGCAGCCCCGATGCTGGTGATGTCATCCTGAGAAAGGGACACGTGACGAGGCACATCACTCTTGGGGCCCAAAACTTGTGCTACCATTAGCGATCCTTAATGGATAATGTAGGGAAGAATTTGAGAGGGGCCTGCGCCGAGCAGAAAGGAAAAGCATGAAGAGAACTTCTGAGTTAACATGTAAAAGCATCACCCTGGGCTCGTGCACCGGGTACCGTGGCCCTCTTAGAGTTTCCCACTGTCTTGATACCACGGATGCGGGTCACTAAAGACCACAGAGGTTCTTACCTTGACTCAACCGTCCCATCAGAAGTAACTGCTGCATGGAAGGAGAAACTACAGGTTGCAGAACAGGTGAACCACGCAAAGCTTTTACCTGGAAGTATTATTTCAGGAAATCCCATTTTTCGGGCAATGGCAGTTGATCTATCCACCAAGTGCGAAAAATTCTTCTGAACCTGTGTGAGATCACCTGGCAAAAGCTTCAAAGATACCCAAAGTCCTTCAAAGAAATAAAGAATGAACTTTTAGCTCTCTTTATGATCTATACCAAAAATACCCATAGAAACGCTGAAAAATAAAATATACAGATATTTTATTATAAAAATGTAAATGCTCCCCCAGTTAGCTTATCATTTTCATGACATTCCTATCAAAATCACAACAAGACTTCCTTGAGAATTTGACAAAGGTATGAATGAACACATGTTTACTTGGGGGAAAAAAAACACGAATAAAGATAGCCCCTATCAGATACCAAAATATTGTAGAGCTATAACGAAATATTTTACTAGTGGTAGAAAAGATATATATAAATCAATGGAAACAATTAAATTAAGTACTATAATATATAGCAATTTAATATATAGTAAAGATGCATAACAAATCCTGAAAAAAGAAACAACATCACAAATGTGCTGGAATAATTTTCTTGCTACTTAAAAAGAGAATCAACTAATTTCTCAACTCACGTTTTCATTAAAATAAATTCCTAATATAACAAAAAAAATAAAATGAACCTTTTTCCTAAGTATAGACAAATGAAGAAATCACATACAAAAAGAAATTTCTAGGGGCACCTGGGTGGCTCAGTCGGTTAAGCGTCTGACTCTTGATTTCGGCTCAGGTCAGGATCTCAGGGTCAAGGGACTGAATCCCATATGGGGCTCCACACTCACGGGAGAGTCTGCGTGAGGATTCTCTCCCTCTCCCTCTGCTGCTCCCTACACTTGTGTCCATGTGCACATGTGCACTCTTTCTAAAGTAAATAAATTAATCTCAAAAAAAATAATTATCTATACACAAATGGAAAGTTTTGATATTTATAAAGAAGTGAAAGGCACGCTACAAAAGGGTGAAATACCTATTATGAAATTACAAGAAAAACAACAAATAAATAGAACATGTATAGACAATTCACAAAGAAGTACATGAAGTTGGCAAATATTTAACAAATCAAAAATTGAAAAATACATGTTCTATATAAGACATCGTTAATCTTCACAAAAACTGAGAAGGAAAACTTTAGAAAAACTCACGAATGCGTAAGAAGTCTAGGTAATTCCCCATCAAGTAGGTTTTTTTCTAATTGCAAGAGAACTATGGAAGTCTACTTTTCACCTTTCAAATAGGTAAAGTTTTTTTTTAGAGTTTTTTTTTTTTTTTTTTTGAGAGAGAAGGTGGGGGGGAAGGGGAGAGAATCCTAAGCACGCTCCACGCTCAGCACAGAGCCTGACACATGGCAGGATCTCACGACACTGAGATCATGACCTGAGCCAAAATCAAGAGCTGAGCACTTAACCAACAGAGCCACGCAGGCGCCCAACAAATAGATTTTTAACTATCGGGTCACCAAGCAGGCACCATGGTAATTAGCACCACTGGCAGAAGTTGATGGAAAGCAATCTGGTAATATGGTTATCTCTGAGTTGGAGCCTGTTCCCATCATTTGCCCCAGCTGTCCTACTTCTGGGAATTTTCTTGGGGAGATAACCCTAAATATGGAAAAAGCTTCACGTATAAAAGTAGTCACAGCAGAGTTATTTAAATTTATAATGGGGACAAAACAGAAAACACTTAGATGCTTCCCTAGGGGGATCCAAGCAATGGAATATCATGCAGCCAGCCATAGAAACAATATTTGTTATGAGCATAAAAACATTTGAAAAGCACTTGCTTTGTTAAGCAGCAAGAGAGCAAATACTTTTTTTCACTTTTCTGAAAGGAATTACTCATGTACAGCAATTTACTTAGTGTAAGGATTTTCCACTCTAATAAATCATATCCTAGGTTAGGAGTTCTAAAATAAAAGATATGTATTTCATTATTTGTTTCCAGATTCTTTTTTATTTTTAAAGATTTTATTTATTTGACAGAGAGAGAGAGATCACAAGTAGGCAGAGAGGCAGGCAGAAGGAGGAGAAGCAGGCTCCCCACCGAGTAGAGAGCCTGATGCAGGGCTCGATCCCAGGACCCTGAGACCCTGACCGAGCCGAGAGCAGAGGCCTGTCCCACTGAGCCACCCGGGTGTCCCCAGGTTCTTTTTTTTTTTTTTTTTTTTTTAAGATTTTATTTATTTATTTGACAGAGAGAGAGAGAGATCATTAGTAGGCAGAGAGACAGGCAGAGAGAGGGAGGGAAGCAGGGTCCCCGCTGAGCAGAGAGCCCGATGCAGGGCTTGATCCCAAGACCCTGGGATCATGACCTGAGCTGAAGGCAGAGGCTTAATCCACTGAGCCACCCAGGCGCCCTTATTTTCAGGTTCTTTAATGCTTCCTTACATGTCTTTCCTACCCAGATCAACTGTGAACACATGGAAAATGAAATATGCTGATAATAATGTGTTTCCTGATTGCCTCCGCTTCAGTAGAAGATAGTTCCAGGGTGGTAAAAAAACAAAAAGTGACCCATCTTCAAAACTGTCCCCAAATCATCACCATCATAGTACTTGAATTATAAAATTTTAACTGGTTTTTTAAAAATACTATTCGAATTTAAAATGCAGTTTCAATGAGTAGAATTGCTTAGTTAAAACTGTGTCAACAGGGGGCGCCTGGGTGGCTCAGTGGGTTAAGCCGCTGCCTTCGGCTCAGGTCATGCTCCCAGGGGCCTGGGATCGAGTCCCGCATCGGGCTCTCTGCTCAGCAGGGAGTCTGCTTCTCCTCATCTCTCTCTGTCTCTCTGCCTACTTGTGATATCTCTGTCAAATAAATAAATAAAATCTTAAAAAAAAAACTGTGTCAACAGGACGATATATGGAAACACTAAAAACAACTCAAAGTGTTTTGCTAGCTAGCCCATTATTTCATATTATTATCTGTTCAGGGGTGCCTGGGTGGCTCGGGTCATGATCCAGCCACTGGGCTCCCTGCTCTGTGCGGAGTCTGCTTCTCGCTACCCCAACTTTTGTGCGCACTCTCTCTCAAATAAATAAATCAAATCTTTAAAAAAATGAATATCCACTCATTTGTATTACTTTGGTCTCTTTACTCTTAATTTTAGGTAATGTAATAGGACAAGCATTCCGAGGGTGGTACATGAGTAGAATTTCTTAGTTCAAACTTGATTCTTTTTGTGCATTTACCTAGAATCAGCATTGGGATTGTAGGGGAGACAAAACTGAGAAAGGGCTCGTGGGATAAAAATTTGTTTCACAGAATTTACAAAACACAGCTGTGATCCAATTCCGTGCTGAGTGCAGCCTCTAAGCTCTTCAGTGTTAAATGCATTCAGCAGGAAGCTGCAGGGAGCAGTCCCCAGCAGGGTCTGCTTTGCATCAGAGAAAGGTAGAGAAAAGGGTCGGCAGTCCAAAGACCCAGCTCCAGTGCTGCCCCCACAAGTCCCCTCCCAGCTTAGTGCACAGGGCTGTGTACCTTGTCCTTTGTGATTCACTTCCTTTGCTGCTATCACCTTATTCAAGACTGAAGTGAGTGGCTCGTTCTCCCCAATCACATGGGATGTTATCAGGGGTGACATGATTAGCTGTCTCTGCCGGATATATGTTTCCATTGCAATTCTGGGGAAAGTCAGAAATGAGAGGTTAAAAAAAAAAAAGAGGAAGTTTCTATAGCACAGCTTCAGATAGGGTGGTTCCTATGGGAGTAATTTGGAAATCTAAACACTACACACACCTCACTAGAGGACTCTCCCTTTCCTTTATTTTTCCATTGGGGGCCTGTCTTGGTCATTTCCAAGATGAATTTGGTGTCCAAGGTAGGCACCAAATGGAAAAAGGAAAAAAACAACCTCCCAAGAAAAATAAAACTGATGGCAAATGTTAAAATCAGAGGCAAGGCCTGATGCTCTTTCTGAGGTGGGGGAGGCTGAGGTCATGGAACTGAAGCAGCAGCGGGGATGGGACAGGTGACCTGGCCTCCGGTCCTGGTTCTACCTGACATAAGCTCCGGGCCTCAGTTCCCTCATCCATAAAACGGGCGGACATCATACGCCTGCAAAGGCCTCCATCTGGCACCAGCACTCACGCACGCAACGGCTCTCGGAGGGTGCTCTCAGACCCTTAGAGTGAAAAGTGAGATGGCACAGCCACCGGCAAACCGGCTTCACTCTCATGATCGACCAGGCTGAGATCCAAGACCCAAACACAGCCCCTCCTGACAGCACAAGCGCTCTCAGAAGCACAGATCAGCCTGCTGTGGGTCAGCGGGCTCCCCTCTGCTGTGGTCTCATTCTCTCGCCCACCACGACACAGGCCAGCCTTCTCTGCAGGAGTCTGATCTGTGCCGGGACAGCAGCGAGGAAACCTACTGCAGTGTCTCACTGAAGAGCGAGGTGGCTGCGGACTGAGTGGCTGCCTTCAAAGGACGCTCCCTTACACGGACTAGCAGAATCTATCCAGGAGACTCTCCTCGTATAATACGCTGTAAAGCTTATTGATGAGGTAAGTTACGAAAGCATCTGCCATAAATCTTAGGAGTTAAAAGCCAGAGACTGTGATCTGCATCACGAATGCTTTATGGTGCCTGTTGGCTGCACAGTGCCGGGTAATCGAATTAGGGCTGGGCTCCTCGGAAACTCAGCGTGCATTACCACACAGTGAAGGCGACCTCAGGGCTGTTTCAACACAGCTTCGGGATGGGAGCTGGTTAGAGATGAGGCAGGGGGGCACACACCCAAAGGAAGAAACCCACCTCAGAAGTGAAACAAGCATACAGAGTAACTTCCACATCCATGCGTGCTGCTCTTATCACGTACATACACATCTCATACGCATATCTAGATAATGATAACGTATAATATCTAGGTAATGATAGGTAACGTATGACAGTGATACACAATAACATTATACATGTATATGTAACAGGAACATTCATGGACGTGAAGGTTCTTTATGTCTATATTTATTGTAAGTATAATATATACATTTTCATATATCTATATACTCATATTTATTCTATATATTATTTCATATTTATTCACTAATGTTTAAGATATAGTCATATTTAATATATCGATACATTTAACTTAATGTATTAATATAAGATTATAGTTAGTAAATTATATTTGTTACACTTAACATATTTATTTAATATATTTGAACGTATATATATATATATATATATTTATATTGGGATCAGCATCCATGAATTTGAAAGTCACCTCATTAATTCATATTAGCACTAAGCAGCATAAAATATTTACCTCACCACATTCTTAGAGGGTCAGTACATAGGTAGTAGGGTATTAGATAAGCCCTTTTAAAAAATTACTTATAGCAGCCTCTGGATGAAGGAAGGAACTGCTACTTAGCGAGAGCTATCTGTACTATTACATTTAGAAACTGGTCTAAAGCTGGTGGGATTTAAACTGAACGAGAAGATTTTTATACTTTAAATAAAATTATATATTATGCATTGTTTTTGTAGAAAAAATAGAAATACAGAGTAAACAAAATTCGCAAAATTTTGTTAAAAGTTAAAAAAAAAAGGAAAAATCACCTTTTGCCACATCAACAGAATCACTATTATGGAGTATATTCTCTGAAATATCTAAATTTTGAGGCTTTTAATGCATTGTAATAGGTTATATTCCTATAACTACTGTATATTTCCTTCTACCCAGCCAAACTCTGGATATTATATATATTTTTAAAACTCGGTCAAACCAAATACCAAAACTCCTTGTTTAAACCAAATTGCACGGATTCTCAATGAATGTCTGGGCCATTTCTTTCTGTGTATGTGTGCACGTTTGGGTGTATATATACACACATACATTATTTTATGCTCATATCCTTATGAATTTCTATTAATTATATAGTAACAATATTCATTCTCTTTTAATACACATTGCAAACATTTTACTAAACTTTATTCTGTACCTAAGTTATTTAAAATTTTTGTGTGGTTTACCTGCCAATTTTTCTTTTTCAGTCAGATCTTTGCAGTCTGAGTCAGCAAGGCCTCCCACTCACCACTATTATATAAAACTCCGATTTTCCTGTAGTATTTTAAGATTCTAGTTCTTATACTTACACATTTAATCATGTGAAATTTCCCGTGGCACACGATGTGAGACAGGTTCTAACCTGGGTTTCGTAAATGGGTGGCTAATTGTGTCAAACAGTTCATTTCTGCATAGTTCCTATTTCTCCACTGATTTGTACTATGATTTTTTAAAAATTGTATGTTAATTTCAGTATCCTTGGGCTGGTTTCCAGAGTTCTCAGCAGTTCTACTGATCTACTGTGGCAGCTGCAGGCCGCTGAGATAGTCACCTCCCTCACTGATAGGACCGCTCCATTCCAGCATGGTCTACCATCTCCTCTAGGCTGCCACCACCCACGCCCAGGATAAGGCGACCACACTGCTAGAGCCTTGATGTTCACACATATACTTCTTCAGAGGCCTGTGGGTTCACACCTGCTGGCCCATGACCCACAGGCACCCACACAGGGCTCCAGCTCCTGAAGCTCAGCCCGGAGGCTTTAGCGGAGCTCTTCAGGCAATCCTTCGGTGTCCTCCCAGACTGGCTGACCCTCCCCCCACAGGCACCCAGGCATTACTAGTCAGCCCCTCACTCTCCAACCTCCTAAACACCTTCAACCCTGAGTGTGCTCTCCAGCTGGAAGCTCGTTAGCGGCAGCCTCCTGACCCACCAGACCACGTTTTGCACTCTAACAAGATCTCCAGGGAACCCTGAGCTGTGCTACAGGACGCTCTGTCCTCTGTAATATCTGTTCCTGACAACAGAGTGCAAATATACTCTGGCCTTTCTGACACCTACGGGGCACCATTTTCTGGCTTCTGCTGCAGATACAGATTTCCCCTTCTATTCCATCAGTCCTTTCTAGCGAACCAGAAAAGTTAGGCTTACCCTCCTACATGTGATCTCAATATAAAGGACCCTGAATACAGTCTTCTGTCGGCTTCTATCTCACAATCTTCCAGTTACAAGGCTTTCCTTCTGGAACGGAGCAAATGGTTCCTAGCACCTGGTTCTGTGTTAACAGATCATTCAAAGAACTCATCCAGGTCTGAAGTCACCCGGGATCAATGCCAAAGTACTTACTGCTGAAAGGGAATAAAATGCTGCTTTTCTTCATCATCCACCTTCCCGTGTATGATATCAGTGATATCCATCACTAGGAAAAAGATAAAACTTAATTAAAGAACTTAACTGTGGGGGCGCCTGGGTGGCTCAGTGGGTTAAAGCCTCTGCCTTCAGCTCAGGTCATGATCCCGGGGTCCTGGGATCGAGCCCCACATCGGGCTCTCTGCTCAGCGGGTAGCCTGCTTCCTCCTCTCTCTCTGCCTGCCTCTCTGCCTATTTGTGATCTCTGTCTGTTAAATAAATAAATAAAATCTTTAAAAAAAAAAAAAAAGAACTTAACTGTGTCGGGCTTCAGTAAGTTACTATGGAAAACTATAGTATCTGCAAACACAGGACGCTAGAGAAGTGAGATACCACGCGGGCACACTTAGGTCTTTGCCAGCGATGACTCCTGGTGCCCAGCCTGCAGAACAATTAATTTATCAGGAGCTCAGACATGGAGTTCAGGGTTTGTATTTTTCTCAGATCAATCCGGCAGACTACCCACTTCTTAAAATTCTACACAACCAAATGCTAAATTCTTGAGAAATCGGAAACCAGATTGGTTTTGTTTTGTTTTTTAGCAAGCCTGCATTCAAAGACACAGAGCACCCATATTTTATATCAGGAGTGTCAAGAATGAGGACTTGAGAGAGAAACTCAAGACTCGAAGGCGTCAACCATCTCTTGGCCTTGATGCAGTCGCACCTGCCTTCCACATTCACTAGGGAAGGCAGGGCAGGGCAGCAGCAACACAGAACAGAAGATCGCACAGTGATTTGCTTCTCTGCACACAAGACGAGCAACAAATACAGCACGTCCTGTGCCCATAGCGTCTGTTATCTTACTTATACCGACACTATTATTTGCCCTACTTTATGAGGCAAGGAAACACCGGTGCCTGGGTGGCTCAGTCGGTTAAGCTCAGGTCATGATCCTGGGGTCCAGGATCGAGTCCCGCATTGGGCTCCCTACTTGGCAGGGAGTCTGCTTCTCCTTCTGCCCTTCACCCTCCTCATGGTCTTTCTTTCTCCCAAATAAAATAAAATCGTAAGGAAAAAAAAAAAAAAGAGAGAGAGAGAGAGATGAGGACACCGAGCACAGGAAAGGCTGCCCCAGACCAGAAGTTTTAAGTAGTGACGCTGGGGTATGAACCCAACAGCAATTATGGGACCAAATCACTTAAGCCAACAATGCCCGGCTGCCTGGAGAACTAATAAGTGGGCCACTCTACAGCTGTTCAGACCAGGCAGGGCCCACAGCCAAGAGGCTAGTCCTGGGTTAATGAATTACAATCAGGCCATAAAACACACACTCACCATCCACTCCCCAGATAACCTGTTTGAAGATGAGAAGAAGTACTGAGATAGGAGACATTTCTCAGATGAAAAACTAAAGGATAAGGAAGGAAATGCCTTCTCAAAGTAACCCAAACCACAGTGGGTAAGGCTTGGGAAATAATAATGTTGGTGAAAGGATGCTGCAAAAGCTCGCTGTCAGACAAGTCCCCTACAAACACTGTACCAAAAAAAAAAACAAAACAAAACCTGAAAAATCTGTATCTGGCACCACCCCTCTTCCAAGGGGCGGTTCATCTGTCGATGCCGTCATGCAGTTACTCCAGATCTCTGCTGATCGATGCTTGGCATCGAGCCTCAGAGTAAATGACAGTTCTCCAAGTACACACACACACACACACACACACACCACTCCACCCCACCCCCCCCTTAAACAGAAAAGCAACCAAAAGCTGCAAGCCTGATGTTCAAATCTCTTCAGCCCATTTTGAATGACAGTGACTTTAAACATGCCCTAAATTCTTAGCTTAGTGGATTGTCATATAAATGGCTAAGTTCCTTCCCTTTTCTGAGATTTCATTTTAATGCTCTGTCAGGAGGAATGCCGTGCCTCCTCAGAGACTGGCAGGCCTTGAGCAGCCAGTGGGAGGGCAAGGTTGGTCAGGGAATGACCATGCACACGGCCTCATGGAGAAGAAGCCTTGTTACCCACACAACCCACAAGGTCAGTCCTGCCGACATTCTCTGGCCATTTGTTCCAGGAGAATTAAGGCCTTTCATCGACAGCTTTCAAAACTTCTCAGTGACTGAAACATCAATATACAACCAGGAATGTATTTCCTTAATCGAACAAATTACAGAAGAAAATGCATGGCCTCTTGGGAGGTTGTGGGGCTTGATGTAAGCCAAGGACCCTCTTTGAGAGGGACTACAAATCCAATGTTGCCTTTGAAGAGTGAATCGTCCAGGCAGGCAAACCACTTTCCAGGGAGAGTTTTACTGGACTGAAAACAGCCCACAGGCGGGGAGAATGCTGAGAGTCCCAACAAGGCTTTACTGAGATCCTACCGTGTACAAGGCACTGTGTGGGGCACCACCGAGGGAGAAACAAAGGAGGCAGGGTCTAGGTGAGGGCTCGGAAACCCCCCAGAAAAGATAACTGGAAGCCCCAGGCAGTAAACGCTGTGTGTCCAATACTCACGTTGACAACCAAATTCTTCTTGCGCCGTCTCTGGGTTTTCCCTCCCTCCTATAGTCAATTGTGTGTGTGTGGTGGGGATAAAATCTGCTGTTTTAACCATTCTTAAAGGTACAGTTCAGCAGCATTAGGCACATTCACCATTTGTGCGGCCATCAGCACCCTCCCTCTCCAGAACTTTTCCATCTTCCCAAAATGAAACTCTGTCCCTCTTAAACACTAACCCCTTTCCCCCTCCGCACAACCCCTGGCAAGCACCACTCTACCTTCCGTTGCTCATAACGAATCTGACCACTCTGGGCACCTCACACAGGTGGGAGTGGGACCATGCCATGTTTATCTTTTTTGTGATGGCCTATTTCACTTTGCACAACAGCCCCAAGGTTCAGCCATGTTGTGGAATTTCCTTTCTTTCTCAGGCTGAATGATAGGTCACTGTCTGGACGGACCACATTTCCTTATCCATTTATCCACCCACGGACACTTGGGTTGCTTTTACTTCTTGGCTAGTGTGAATAAGGCTGCTCTAAACCCGGATGTACAAGTATCCTAAAGCCTTTTGCTTCTAGTTCTTTTGGGCGGACACCCAGAAGTGGGATTCCTGGGTCATAAGTTCAATGTTCAATCGCTGGAGGCCCTGCCATGCTGTCCTTTACAGTGGCTGCGGCGTTTACAGTCGTCTCTGGGTCTTTCTGTACCTGCTACTCCAAAAGGTCTTCGGAGCCCACATGTGTGCTTTTTGCCCTCCTTCAGCTCCATGTGGCCCACCCGGACAATCTGGCACACGAGGCTGATGCGGGGCCGGATGAGGTCTGTGCTACTGAGGTCCTACAGGGACAGAGAACACGCAAAAAGGAGATCGAGCTGCATCACCCTGTCACCTTTGTTTCTCTTCTCACTCGACAACACAACACCATTCAGAGTTCTTTCTCGTGCCGAAATAGCAGGACCACTCCCTCCCTCCCCCATTCCCATCCAAGAATGACCATGGCATCAGTGGAAAATGACTGTTTTCAAAAAAGGAAGGAATTTGTTTGATTTCCCAGCTCCTACTTCAAATCGAGAAATCCGATCGTTTTCAATCTAAAGTCTCTAACTTATCAATTTAAGCTGGGTACTTAAAAGTTGGGACACCTGTCACTGCTGCTTTACATTCTCCCAGGATATGGCAGAGCCCCTGAAGCATGCCAGTGTCAAAGGGAATCAAAGCTTGCAAGATGCTGATCTTTACTGGGGGTCTACACAGGCTGGTGCTATTTCACTTCATCTTCCAAATAATCCTGTGAGACAACTATAACAGAGAAATTTACATGTGCTGGTTTCTATAATTATTCATCTGTTTTACGAGAGGTATTCACTGAGAGCTTCTGGGTGTATGTGGATTAACAAAAGATGTGTAGATGAGAGGTCTCTGTTTTTTTGTGGTTCATGTTCTACACTTGTTTGTATTCTTAAGGATGGGTGAGTAAACCCATGAATGAGCTCACATATCTCATTCTCTTTAACGTGAGGAATAATTTAATTGCATCTCAAATTCCTTTCATGAAACAGCTGTCCAAGGCCTCTTTACTGAATCGAGAATTACTTTCTAAATAGTCATTCCAAATCCATCCTCTATAGTTTAGTGAACTCAGGTCTCCAAGATAGGAATACAGAGCAATGATAACATTGACCCTGAATTTCTGCTCTAGGTTTTGTAAGGCTTCTCTTAATAACAGAAAGATAAAGCCTCTGGGTGACTAGTTACATAAATCATGACACACGGTTACTGTTCATCAAGGTACAATCATTTGTAAAAGAAGTTTTCGTAGAATGTTGAGTGATCAAGGAAGTATTCAGCACATTTTATTTAATTGAAAAGGCTGGACATGAAATCTGCATCCCAAGAAGATCCCCATCAGTAGGGGGAGGTGGTAGGGGAAAGGGGGTGAAATGCAGCTTTTCTAAAATGCTCTCAGGCAGAAGATGGACCAGAAAGTCAATAATTCCTTTTTTTATTGTTTTTTTCAAGTTACACATTGACTGATAAATGCCTTTTGGTTTTAGGGAAAAACCCACATCTGTGAACTGAGGAAGGGAGGTTTTAGGAAGAGTTCCATCTCTTTCTCTTTGTTTACCAGGTGGTAGAGATACAGGTGGGTCAATGCATGAGTAGTAATCACACCCCACTTGTCCCAGAAATGGGATGTTAACAGAGGGAATGGATAATAAGAAGGAGAAATGAATGAAGGAGAGATTTGATAAGCCTATACCGGGTCCACTGCTCTGTATCATGTTTTTAGGCGTTTTCTCTAAAACTCTATTTTCCTTGCGTATGCGTGGTAAGAGAATAAGGAGATAAAATATGTGCATGGGCTTAAGGGAAGAAGGCAGAGAAGGAAGAGAGCGTCTCCTGCAGGCCTCATAGAGAGCAGATGGCAGAACTCTAAGGCACTTCAAGTTCTGATGTCCTAAAAAAGAGAGAGAACACCAAGAGAATTCCAGCCCCAAAGAAAGAGAGTCATCATGCCCCAGGCTATAACCCAATAAATTTCCTTCCTCCTGACCCATGTAGAGCAGCACTCCTCCTTCCTTAGAGAAGAGGAGGAGTACAGGGTAAAGTCCATTAAAATATGAGGAAACAAAAAAGTCAAGATCCCCGTCTTTGCCTGAGCTGTACCCTGGGTCTGGAATGCTCTTCTCTCTATCAGCATTGCTCACTCTCTCGTCAACTTCAGCTCTTGCTCAAATGGCCCCTTCTCATGAAGGTCTGCCTGACCCGTCTACTTAAAACGGCACCCCTTGCCCAGCCCAGAAACTACCCCCCCCAAGTATTTATGACTTCTAACATTCTATATAACATACTCATTTATTGGATCATCGTTTCTTACTGTCTCCCTGTTTTGGAGAAAAGCTCCTTGACCAGGGATGTTTTTTCTGATACGTTCACTACTGTGTCTCAAGTGCCTAGGTCAGTGGCTGGCATCTAGTGGACGCCTGATAAATATCTGCTGAATAAATGAGCAGTTATTCCTGCTAGGGGGATCATGATGATTCTCCTTTTCAGCTTTTCATTTCGGAGGTTTTGCCGTATACTCACCATAAGCATCTGCTAATATCGTAAGCACAAAGAAATGATTAGATGTAAGGTAGGACTTACAGTAAAAACCGCTTGGAGGTTATTAAGCTTCTCTATTTCCTTGGGCATCCCGTTACTGCCCCAACGAATCAGGTAATTCTCACTGGTGAAAGAAAAAAAAATTATCCTTAATGAAGGGCTAACTGGCACTGGACCTATCCACGGCACAGACTTCACAGGGTCCAAAGAAGACCCCAAAGAGCCCCGCTGAATTTATTAGGCAAGTGTCAATGTAGCACCCAAGTGGGCCACTCCCTGGTCCCCCGGCTTTGGAGAAGTGAGCATGCCATAGCCAGGCTCCGTGACGCACGCCCAGCGTGGATTCAGGACAGGCACACACGCGGCAGCTTCTGCCAGGTTCCGCCTGGCGTCTTTCTTCCACCTCCAGATCTTTGTGTAAGATCTTCAGCTTTGCCGAACCAGGAATATAATTTTAGAATAATCATTCCAAATCCATGCCCTGGAATCCACTCCACCACATCCAGATAAAATTTCGATTATAGAAATAAACAATTTGTCAGTAACTACTTTTAACCATCTGCTCAAAAACCGATCTGTTTTCTTAGTTGCTCAGCTAAGTGATAGCGTGACCATAGGGTCGAACGAAACCTACCACCATTCACTACAGTTAAAAAAAAAAATTTGTTTTTTTAACAGACTTTTTTAGAGCAGTTTTAGGTTGACAACAAAGCTGAGTGGAGGGGACAAAGAGTTCCCATAGCCCCCTGCCTCCCGGCCCCCCCACACAGCCTCACCCACTATCAGCACCCCCCAGCACGGTGGTATATTTGTTACAGGTGAAGAACCTACACTGGTACCTCAACACCTCCCCCCATCACACCCCCCGGCCCGGAGTCCACAGTTCACCTCAGGGTCCACTCTTGGTGCTTGCATCCTACTGATCTGCACTAATGTAGGATGACACACAACCACCATTACGGAATCACACAGAGCAGTTTCACTGCCCTAAAATCCTCTGTGCTCTGCTGACGCATTCCTCCCTTACCCCATCCCCCATGGTCTTTTAAACGCTTTGTCCTCATCTCCTTGTTCTGATAGCTTTATGGGATTCTAAGACCCAGGGAGCACACAATCTGTCACTGTACTGTTCCCACAGCCACAAAGAAAGGCTCAGTAGCCTGAAGGATTTTATTTTCTACCACCTACGATCCTACCCCTTTTCTATCTCCCGCTCTCAGATGAGCAAAGGGCTCCTCAGGTGGGTGGCAGGTGAAGGCTGGGTGTTTCTGCAAGGTCAACAGCGGATGGCCTGGGACCCCACTACCTGATGAAGGTGGACTGGTCTGGATCATAGAGGGCCATGAACAACTCAGCGTCTTCCCCAATGTTGCAGACAAAGTTCTTGAAGTTCACATAGAGGCCGTAGGTGTGGATGGCACTGAAGACAGACTGGGCCCGCAAGTCCAGGTTCTGAAGAACTGACTGAACACACAGGAAAAGACAGAAAAGCCTCGTGGTGGCAGCAAACAGGGAATAATGGCAAAGACATGGGCCATCAAATGGGAATAAATATAATTGCCAGTTGAGGGGAGAAGCACCGACTGAGAAGAAAGTGTGTGTACGTGGCCAGATGATTAAGTGAGCAAAATACAATCACTATGATTTGGATAATCAAGACTGTCCTACTCATGGGGCGCCTGGGTGGCTCAGTCCGTTGAGGGTCTGACTCCTGATTTCAGCTCAGGTCATGATCTCGGGGTCGAGAGATAGAGCCTCACGTCAGCCTTGGTGCTCGACAGGGAGTCTGCTTGAGATTTTCTCCCTCTCCCTCTGCCCCTCCCCCACCCCATACATGTCTTCTCTCTCTCTCTCACTTGCTCTCTCAAATAAGCAAATAAATCTTTAAAAAAAAAAAAAAACCCACAGAACCCAAACTGTCCTATTCAGGGCCTCGAGCCCAGCGAATTCAGTAAGTGCTTCCTCAAGATGACAACTCATGGCTTAGTAGCTTCCAGAATTTCTCGTCTCCCACAAGGCTTCTGAATGAACCTCAGAATTCATTATCCCTCTTTTTGGGAACTGTTCTCATTGCAAACAAGAGATTCCACTAGAAAGACTTCATTCTCAAGTGTGGTTAGACATTGGATGCAGAAACACAATTAAATATTATCACAATTGTGCTAAAGAAATGAAACTACAAACTAAATAAACAGAAGCCTTTACTCATTAGAACAGAAAGACTGGAAAAATATATACCAAAATATCAATACAGCTTGGTCTGTGCCATCATACTTTGGGGCATTTTTCTTGTTCTCTTTCTCTGTACTTTTCTCATTTTTATTTAATATCTCACTGTTACTTTCAAAACCTTTCAAATGCTTTAAATATTATTGAACGGAGTTTGGAAACTCTATTATGTATATCAAATACAGCAGGTTACACAGAACAAAGGCTCCCTCCCACCCAGTTCTCCTTCCTAGAGGCAAGGATTAATTATCAATTTCTTGTCTATCTTTCTGGAGTTAGTCTATGCATATGAAAACACGGAGGTCTGTATATGACTTTTTGAAACACAAAGACTAGTGTTTTGTACACACTGTTCTGAATCTTGTTCTTTCTATTAATACATGTCTTTGCAATCTTTCCATATCAGAAGGTATATTGATGCCTCATTTTTTTGTTGTTATGTCTTGCTTTTCAATGAGGCACCAAATGACTTTCTAAACATTTCTGCCTCTTGTCAATGACTCTCTTTCTCTCCTTAAAAACAAAAGTAAAAATGGAATCTCAGTGACCCAAATCTGCACACTGGAGGATTGTACCTTTTCTTCTTGGATCTTTTCCTCAATCCTTTTTGAGGCCATTTCATGGGCCTTGAAGAGGGCAATGGTGCTGGTTTCATCTGGGTCCAGTATGTTCCCATTGTCATCTCTCACCACCAGATCTAACCCAAGCATTCTAGAAAGAAAGCAGTGACCAGTGAGTCTCCTCATTAAGAACAGACTCTTTCCTGATGATTCCCCAGGAAAGAACCCAAAGGATTCATGGTTAGAAAGTTGGGTGCTAGACCAGTCAAGTTAAGAACAGTTCCTTGGCTTCTCTCTTTTTAATGTCTGCCTCCTTTCCCCAAAACTTGTGGTCAGTAAGTTATGAAAACTTATGGTAGTGTTAATCAAATTCATATGATATGCAAAGTATATTTATTCCACAGTCTCTCCACAGGAAAGGCAAAACCATCACTGCTTCTGACCAGATTCCTCTGATCAACGCCTCTTCCCAATTTTCTATTACCTGATATAAGAACAATGATAGACCAAATATCTGGGGGCTTTGCCTGATTTCCTTTAAGTTCAACATTGAGGATAGCCCTTAACTCAAGACTGTCTTAAAGGCGATCAGTGAAGTGGGTCCTGGCTGGTGGAATTTCGTAACCTCTCTCACAGCAGGAGCTCTGCTGTCGCTTAGATCAGGATTTCAATCTTGGCTTGAATACATGCTAGCAAGAGGACTCAGGGTGATTTACTTGATTTTGCAAAGCCCTGACTTCCTCATCTGTAAATACTCCCTACCATTCACGGTTGTTGTGAGAATTTCATGAGATAACATGTAAAGCAAGTAACGCGGCGTCTAGTATCTAGTCCACTCTCCATACACGGCAGGTCTTATCACAGCAACTGGCACCAGAACACGCCTGGCTGAAGTTGTAGCTCTGAGTGTTACACAGGAAAAGAGCCATATGGTCTATGCAGGGCACAATCCCTACTCAGGCTCTTATGCCCAATGTGCACAAAGAAGTTGAAAAAAAATGTGCTTCGTTCCAAGACTTGAGGACGTGGTGGAAAGAGGATACTGCTATCTGAATGCCCAGTGTTCATTCCAGGAACCAGCAACTTGGGAAGAGGGATGTCCAAACAGCAAGAAAGCTGAGGGATAATGTGTGAAATGTGCCAAGTCTTTGGGAAGAAAGCAAAAATGTCTAATGACTGACTCTCCCCTCCCTGTTTTATAGCATCTCCATCAACTGATTTAATCTGGGAGGTTCCTTTCCACGGCAGCCAGACCCACAGGCCACCCAGACACAGGAGCTGTGGGGTCTTGCTGGCGGCTCAGAGACTAAGCACTGACACACAGACGAAGCAGCTTTTACAAGCTGGAGTGGGATGGCAGGCGTGTCTGGCTATTTATAGGACATTAACATCCTCTGCTGAAGATCAGAGTCTTCTAGGCCCATGTTACACTGTGATAAGACCCAAAAATACAAGGACAGCATAGACACCAAGAGGGACTGGACTTAGCCCACCACTGCTGTTTCTGAAGAAATGCCTCAGCACCCAGCTAGAAATATAACCCCTGCGCATACAGTCCTATGAATGGACAAGTGACAAGGGAGGGAACACTCCATTCGTAACCCTAAGAAGGGAGCATTACACAGAATTTTAAGTTTAGGGTTCAAATTTCAACTTCCCCACTTACAACCTCTGTTACTTAGAAATAAATCTCTTAAGTTCACTTGGTCTGTGTTCTTTAATCATAAAATGGATTATAATCAAGACATACATGTGAAGAGTACACAGGAGATTTCATATAACGATTGAATCTGATTCTTGTATGCTGTAGTCACCCCAGCTTTCTTCTGAATACAGCTGTCAGCGTCTGTAACACTTAATTGAGTAGGATAATGGGCCTTACTTTATTTAACAGGTGTCAGAAGTATATTCAAGGGTCCTGAGGCAAAGGGGCAAGGGGAAAAAATCGCCTATACACAACTTGAGGAAATTTAGAAAACCAAACAAGATGTCAAACAGATCATCAACAAAACTGAGGAACCAACCCAGTCTTTTCAAAGGAACGAGTCAGGAGAGATGCATCCCAGGCCATTAACTGATGAACTGACTGATTTCTCACTTTCTAAAGGGCAGTAACGTCTAGAACCTATGTATCTACTTGAGCTAATCCGAAGATTAGCGAAGTGATTAACTCCTTAGAGGTGACTGGAGGCATAATCAACAGGCTAAAAATGTGTTTTACTCTTCTTGTAAATTTGGTTTTCATACACTACATACCACGGTCCCAGTTAGGGAACATGGGAGAGAAAGACAGAGAATGTGTCTGATGCTGATTTAAAATTCACTCTCAGAATAAAAACTGAGATCGATGCAGGCCTCGTAAAATGCGACTTCAGATGCGCTGTCCCTTTCAGTCTTGTTTGGCAGCAAATTGCCATCTTCCCTGATCGTCTGTCATCTCCTTGACACAGAGATCCCACACAAGGTCTGGCCTATGTGAGGGGTCGCCATATTTTCCCAACAGAATTGAATGTTTCCCAACGCAAAAAGAAAACAGTACGCATCATTCTTTGACAATTCCAAGATCAAAAGCTGAGGGCGAGGCATGTCCTTAGCATGAATGTGCCCATCTCTTTCCAAGTTCTTGGTGAAATCTCCCCCGGTTTACCTGTTCCCGTGATCGATTTTGGCTGTGACCTTTTTCTTGAGCTCTGCTAGTTCGTCCTTGGGGAGGGTTCCAGAAAGGATCTGGGACCGCCACTCGATCAGGCTGTATGTCATCTGCTGCAGCTGGCGGAAGAGTGTGACCTTGTTGTTCTAGGATGGGAAAACGAGGTGGAGGAAAGAACAAAAAATAAAGGTATGTTGGAGGAAGGAGGCTTTTGACTTGACCCTGACTTTATAAGGTGTTACTTAAGCAATTAATTTTGCCATAGAGTAAGCTGTGCACTTCAAAGGGATTTTTTTCTTTTTTTTTGAAATAGGGATGGCCTTGCTCTAGGCCATTCCCACTCTGTCTCCTATTCCAAGTTTAGAATCAGATAAGCCATTGTAGGATGGATGGGATTGTCCATGTACCCTAAGTTCAACCATGTCTCTCCTCTGTTCTAAACCCTCCAGGGATTTCCTCTGTCCTCCAGACACAGTACATCACATTGTAAAACCCTTCCTATCTTGGGTTCTGCCTACATTCCCTGCTGCATTTTACACCAATCTCTGCCTCAAAAATCTATGCTCCCTCCCTGCAACAGTTATGTCCACTGCTCCTGAGTGCTCCAGACCCTCTCAAAATGGTACTTCCTCTCCCTGGAACCACTTTTCTCCTCTTCCCCCAAACTCACCCCATGTCATGTCTTCTTACAGACTACAACCTCCACCAACTGCTAATCCTTACTTCTTTGTTCTCAGCTGAGAAGTCTCTTGCTCAAAACCTTAACTGTGGGCTGGCTATCCCTCCCACTGCTCCTAGAATTTACTCCCATCCCGGCAATCAGAACCCAGACCACCATGGCCCGGCCCATCTGACTCTCGTCTGAGACCTAAGCTCCTACAGGACAGGACGAGGAGCTTGTTCATTTTCGTAACCCTAGGACCTGGTGTAGAGTAGATGCTCTATAAAATGCACGCATGCGTGAATTATGGATGGAGAAAGAACTATAATTTCAGAGATAAAGGACAGTGGAAAATGAAATGGAGAATATAGTCTTAAAGGCCTCATAAAACTGTTAGACCATCCTGGAAATCGTTAGACCTACAATAATTAAATCATTATTCTGGGCTTCCTTAAGGACTTCCATACCTGGACCAAACCAACTTATGACCGGCTCAGTATATGGACTTGTATCATTTTAAGAGTCAAATATCTGATGTCCAAGCTATTATGACCTTGGTTTTATCTAAATGATTAATATACAGTTATATATATAATAGATCATATCACGAACATATACAATATTGTTTAACAATATTTATCTAATCCTTTTATAAACACAAGATAATTTTAAATTGTGAGAAGTGCCAGAAGGAAAATATATGTGGGTAATATGATCCAGTGTACACAGGGAAAGGAAGACCCTTGAGATAAAGTCTTCAAGAAAATCTGGTTTGTGTACCACTTCTGAAACATGCTTTTTTTTTTTTTTAATTTGTCTGCACCATTTATTAGTCAGTTCTACAAGGAATCATTGATGAAAGTTATGTCTTATATTAATATACTTTTTGGAAATGAGACAGTGAGTTACTTTTAAAAAAGAAGTGGTCCTTTTCTGGCTTTTTGGGTTGGGTTTTTTTTTTTTGTTTGTTTGTGTGTAAGTTTAGGGATAAAAACTAAAATATTTGCATAAATGTAATTGAAAATTACACAACAAAGCTGCCTCAGTTTGGACCTCTGATTCAGTATTTGAAACATGCTTTTTTTTTTTTTTAAATAAAAAGCTACACAATTCCACTCACCCCTTAAATACTACAAAATCACTACTTTTTAATTTACAGGTGAAAAGTCATGATATTTTTATATAACTATATGCTTTAAGATTATAGGAAATACTATTACCTGCTATAAAAATAATGCAACCTCACCCCCCAACACACACGTACACACCCAAAGAAACTATGAATGGCTGGAAAGCAAGTCCTTCTGTGATCTTCTACAACAATCCCTGGGGCAGATTCCTGCTAAAGTTATCAAATACGATCAAGATACTGAAAATACCCAAGATACTCCTGAACAAAGAGTAAACTGGAGTCAAGATCCCTCAGCCCAGAAGTGGGGGGGGGGGGCGCCAGAGATTAGCCCAGTGTGATCAAAGCTCTAAAAGAAGGTCAATGTTCTGTGAGAACACAAAGGAGAGGGTCGAAGAACTCCCTTACATGCTCGATTAACACTACTGATCTGAAAAATACAGACCGTGAAACCTGCTTAAAATTTTGTAAATACCTACATTCTAAGTGTTTAGCATTTTCTGAATTGACTTTCTCATCAGCCAGTCTTTCAAAAGCATAAAAACAGGACTTGAAAAGTTCCCTTTTTAATAAGCAAAGGTAAAAACCCTGTTTGGTTTTTTCCCATGGAATTCTGTATAAAATACTGCCACTCCATTTTCTTTCGAATTAAAAGAGGGAGTGAGAAATTAAGTCCATAAAATTTGCTAGGCAGAAAGGGAATCCTTTTTTTCTTTCCTGCAACTAATTTGTCTGCTCTCACTTAGGTGTTTTTTTTTTTTCAAGTGTTTTCTAATTTCAATGAAGATATTAGGCTTTATATTATAGTAAGAAAAAGGGGGACCTCAGACTCAGGGAATCCTCTGAGAGACAGGGTTTTGTTTGCGGCACATGTCCACAAGTTCTTGGTCTCAATTATATTAGACACTATCCAAGGTAATTTAATTACTGCCTGTTCATATCAGCCTTGTTTGCCAAGATCCCCCCTAAAGAAGGATGAAGACAGCCATTCTTCTGAGTCACTGTGCCAAATGAATTCTGAATGGACAAGCTGGAACACACCAAAGGAAGCAATTTCCCCACTACTTGAAGGAAATGGATTTCATCGCCACGTTTCCAAAACTGTTCTAAGTAGGATGTTCCGTGCAAAGCTGGATCCAGATACTTTATGGGTTTCCGGGGAAGCACATGAGGACAGGTGAGGAGAAAATCACGCACTCCTCACAAGACCCTGAGCCAAGGACCTGAGTGTCTCCATCTGTTCTCCCATCACGCGCCCCCCCTTCCTGTCTTCCTTCCTGAATCCTACACTGCCCGCGCCTGCCTGTTGCAGAGAACCTTCTCTGTTACCATTAATCCCAACCATTTTTGTACTAGCAGCCACTGTCACATAATTAAGAGGGAAGGGAATTTATTTAATAATCTCTTTGACTGTCTCTGCAAAAGTCAGCACAATCCAGGGACTTGAAAACAAATTTTGACAGTTCCAATGTAAAACACACTCTGGTTTCAGTTTCAGTTACAGCAGCATGTACGAGAGAAATCTAAATGTTCTCCCACCAGAAAGTAACGGCATTTCTGCACTTGCTTAGAATTTCTCCCTCTTTTCCACTTGGGGATCTCAAAGGTCTCACTTTTTACATTTCTATTCTGAATAGCATGCTCTTTCTCTAAGGATTTCTAAAGATAATAACAAACTCACAAGGAAGAAAAAAAAAGCAGCTTTACCTTCAGCAATGGCAAAGAGGGATAAAGGGGCCTCCACTGCATATTTCAGAAATTCTAGAGACCACTGGGACAACGGCACCACCTCCCTCGTGTCAGAAAACCTGGATTCTATCCCTCACTTTCCCAAAGAATGCAGAAGACAGTCAAAAGACTTTCCTCTGGTCCTCCCCATCTCCTCTGTCTGCCAACCCTTCCTCTTGCCTGCAGAGTTTGATGTAGAGGCAAAGGGCTTGACAGCAAGTATGGGACTTTGTCTCTATCTCTGTCATTAACTGGCTGAGATACACCCAGCGGTGAAACAAAGGGACTGAGTCGGAGACCCATTCCCCAGGCTGAGCGTCTGTGAGTCTATGGTGGAGACCTTAAACTTAATTACTCCTTCGAGCAACTTCCTGATTAACTGGCTCCGACTCTAACCATCTCCCTCGGATGCGCTTACCGCTCGGAAGCTCCCATCCAATTTCACCTGGCAGAGCTCTCTGCAGTGACTCCCATCTCTAACTCCTGGGGTCCGGAGCAGTGTCCGCTTCCCGTGTGTGACCTCGGGCCACACTGCACTCTGGGAGAAAGGGAATCCACATGGCCTAACACTCCTCCTCTCTATCCTAGTGCCTCTTTTCTTTGCTGCAAAAATTCCTTGCTTGACTAGCAAAGGCTTCATTTTTGAAGCAAAGATTCTACTAAGACCATTTTGCCTCAGGATGTAGCACAAGGAATCCTGAGAGGCAAGCAAGCATGAGGGGGGCAGAACAAAACTGGAAAAGGACCCAGAGGACACCCCTGCCCTGTCCTGGGTCACAGCCACCTCTCATCTTGTCTCTCACAAGAGAGCCAGACCCAAGCAGGATTCGCCACTCACAGACGGAATGCCCGGACAAGACCGAGTTTTCTATGGGAATTTTCTGTCCCTGGTAATAAGCAATCAGATGCTGGTTTCCAACCATGAGACCAGCTTAATTACACTTCAGAGCATATGCTCCAGCAGCCCATAATAACCACCCCTTCAGAAAGATTAGACTCGAGTAGCTTTAATCGGCGTGGATATGCAATGATGGGAAGAAGGGCAATTCATTGTGTCTGGCAAGTTCCCCACCCCCACCCTCAGTTATGGGCACTTTCTCCCCTCCAGATTTTTACACAACTACAGACTAGCTCAAGGTTTTATTGTACTGGTGAATTTTAAATGAGAGGAGATCAGGGACACCTGAGTGGCTCAGTCATTTGAACGTCCCTTGGCTTCAGCTCAGGTCATGATCTCAGGGTCGTGGGACTGAGCCCTGCATGGGGCTCCCTGTTCAGCGGGGAGTCTGCTTGGGATTCTGTCTCTCCCTCTGCCGCTCCCTACTCACGGGCATGTGCTCTCTAATAAATACCTCTTTTTCAAAAAATAAATAAATGAGAGGAGATCAGTCCATTCTATGAACTACATTTTAGCAATTATGTTCACTTGATTCAACAATACATATAAACCACCTTCCACACCAGGCTTGTCTCGTATCTCTTTTCTGTAAGGAAAAAGGATTAGATAAAGTGTCCCAAAATTATATGAACAACACTGCCTCGCTAGCCAAAACTCATTGAACCATTTCTCCAACTGGAAGGCGGGGGAACAGCACTGAGTTAAATCTTGGGGTGAGAAATTATAGAGTATGTTTAACATCACCACTTATCTCAGAATTCCCAGGACAGTCCCTCTTTCAGAAATGTTCCTCCTTCTGTCCCCACAAACACACTCTAACTTGTCAGTTTTCAAGTCCTGATTATTGTTGAGAAAACATAATGTGGGATGTAGACTCGTGCATATTCAAAAAGTATAGTTGGATTGTTAGTGAGAAGGAAGTCTGGGTATTACACTAGTCCAATCATGTCTAAATCAATGCAGACTCATTCGCCCTTCTGGCTGGCAGAACTCGTATGGAACAAGGAAGATGTGCTGCTAGAAGGGAAAGAAGGCCAGAGTTCAGCTCACTGGATCTACTTTCCCAGGCTGGGGACAACGAATGATCCCGAGAGGCAGCAGAGAATAACGGGCAGAGCGCTTAAAACCACTGACATACAGCGGTTACATTCACACCGGGCTGGAAGCAAGCCCGCCCATCAGCCCCAAGCTGAAGGGTGCACCCTCAACCAACTTCAGGGTAGAACTCTACTGTGCAGTCTTGTTCTTCTAACACCTCCCATCATCACTGAACTCTTACACGAAGACAGTGCTGGGGACAGCCAGGGGCTGTCACAGTTTGATGACAAAGCGCCAGGCACTGTCCTGGAAGTTTTATCCAGATTATCCGACTGAATCCTTACAGCAAGTGTGCAGGGCATATACAACATTACTGTTTCAGGTGAGGGAAGTGCAATGTAGGGGTCAAAAGACTCGTCTCAGGCTGCAGAATCAGCTAGTGGCCTACCCTGGACCCAAATCCCTGCCTTCGGGATCTGAGTTCTTCCTGTTTTAGTGTGTTTGTCTGCAGTAACTATTACTGGGTATGCTATATTCTTCTGAATATATGAGTATGTTCCAAGCAGAGGAGCAAGTCAGACTTTAAGAACCAGCTGCCTATCTAACCTCAGTGTCCACAGTCTTGTCATTTCAAGAGGCGACCACATTTCATTCATATTGTTTCCCCCTTTCCGGATCACCCCTGAAAACACACTCACTAAAGAGGCTCCAAATGAGGACGAGCAGTATAGATGAAGCCAGAAACTACTGTGAACTTGCACTCTGCATTGGCAGGCTTCCCCCTTTCTTTGCTGGAATGATCCATGCCTCCCGAACTTGAGCCTAAACGAAGGAGGCTCACTATCCATCTAAGAAACACTTAGCCTGCTTACTGAGCACTCAAGGCCACTCTGCCTAAGATGATAACAAAAGACAAGGGAAGTGGCCTTGGATTGGGGGGGAGGGCAGGGAGCACACACAAGGGAGCTTCAGAGTCTCCAAGCCGGGTCAGAGGGATGCCAAGCCCAGAGGGAGGACATCCAGAGCGGCTGCTGTTTCAAGCTAAGACGGCAGCAAGAATGCCATGTGCAGAGTCCTGGATGCTCCGTCTGCGCAATGACCTCACAGCCAGCACCTCTCTTCATGCTTGCACAACCCCATGGGGTCAACAAGGCAGATTTTCCATCGCTTTCACACGATGGGCAGAATCCAGACAATACCTGGAAACATCAAGTGACTTGCCCAAGACCATGGGGCTTGCTGGACAGGGCCTGGATGAGACGCCAAGCTTCCGAATTTCTAGTTCAGGGTTTGTCTCCCACAGTCTGGCATAAAGCCAACACCACCAGGAAAGACAACTAAATGGGACAAAATAATACTAATATAACAAAGAGGAAAAGAAGGCACATGGCGATGGTCAGCATTTCTTTTTCTGCTTTGGAGGAGTGGCTTCTCCTCTCTTTAGCATGAAGAACTCCTCCCCCCTTTAAAACATATTTATGGTTATTCACAAGGTTACAGTGCAGCTGCTAAAATTAAGTCACAGCCATCCAAATGTCTTTCCTGTCTGGAATAATTACCTGTGTCTACACAGCTGGGCTTATCCTGGTTAGTGGATGGCATTTTCCTCTCACATAAGGCTCTGGATCTGCTACAGACATTTCTCATGAGCACAGATTGAAAAGGAGAGAGCTAGGAAATGTGTTGGAGAGAACTGTGGAGGTTCTAAGATTCTACACGTGTCCTGAAATATCAAACAGTGGGTGCCTGGTGGCTCAGTCGGTTAAACATCTGACTCTTGATTTCAGCTCAGGTCATGCTCTCAGGGTCGTGAGATTGAGCCCCGCTTGAAACTTGATCTCCGTCTCCCCCTCTGCCCCTAACACGCACCTCCTGCCCTCCCCCTCACTATGTGTATGTTTGTGCTCTCTCTTACCCTCTCAATAAATAAATATATAAACAAATAAATAAAACAAAACACCTGGTCTCATAATCTGAGGGAGGAAAGGCATGAGAGAAACACAAGTACTGATGTGGTTCAGTAAAATCGGTATTTATCTTTATGCGAACTGAACAAACTTACAGAATTAGAAAACAAAAACACTAATGAAATCATGGCGGGGGGTGAAAACCACAAACTTGGGGTCCTTTTACCTTTTACCCAGTGAAGGATAATATTCTGAGGTTTGCTACTTTGATGCCAATTTTTGAGAAAGTTCAGAAATTCTGCCTGAAGTGAACTGTCAGTATGTTAGGAACAGGAACCCAACAAAGTCATGATTAATAATGACCCCATTTTAAGTGGATAATTTTTTTTAAAGATTTTACCTATTTATTTGGGAGTGCGAGAGAGAAAAAAGGCGTACACAAGCAGGGGGTGGGGGTGCAGAGGGAGAGGGAGAAGTAGGCTCCCAGCTGAGCAAAGAGCAGGACTCAATGCAGGACCCTGAGATCACGACCTGAGCTAAAGGCAGATGCTTATTGGACTGAGCCTCACAGATGCCCCAACATTACCACTTTAAAAATCTCATTGCCCAGTCCTTACTATCAAGTATGTATCGCTACTCATTAATTTCCAGAGAGAACGCATTAAGGAAGCTCTCGTGTATGTGCATTCCTCATCTATCAGAGTTGTTGCATCCGCCGCTAACCAATCAATTAACCAGAGAGTGCTCTCAACAGAGGTGCCAGATGATCGATGCAGGCCAAAGGGCTTAAAACAGCACGTCTGTCCCGGAGATTTAAGAACTCACAGGTAGCTCTCTCCTCAATTACACACACAGAGATCAAAAGATCACTTGTATTACGAGCCAGGATGCCCCAAGGGCCAGATGATGGGCCCAGCAGTAAATGCTCCTAAAGTCCAGAAGGAAACATCACGTATTGCTGTTTTAGAAGCTACATTACAAGGAAGAACTTGAAATAGGCCTTGAAAGATGGGCAGGCAGAGAAAAATCCTGTACTTTCCCACCAAAGGGGCTGGTGATTTCTGCTGCTATGATCCATCATGGGTAACAACAGCCCAGGATGGAAATGAAATCATACATTAACTCTTAGAAGTCATGCTAGACTGAGCTTCTGATGACTGTTTTTGGTACTAAAGGTCTAGAGGAAGGTGTTCTTCACAAGTTATTGAGATTGGTTTTCGAGAGTCCAAATGAAGAATTAACACATGACTGAACAAAAGCCTAGATAAACAAAGTCACATAAAGGAAAGAAACTGGCTTCCAGGCCATCGGGTCTAGTCTACTCCCTCGCTGCACTCATTCACGCATTGAACAAGATAATATACCTTCCTCCTGGGAATCCCTGGTCGGCCCGAGAAGATGCTTACAGAGGCAGGACCTAGTGACTTCTAGGTCCCCAGGAAAGAGGGAACTTTAGAAAAAGGTGTTTGTGCATCCCACTGTCAAGGAAAGAGCTGCTTCCAGGGGACTTGGAGCATTCTTGGCCTTTTGCAAGACAGCTGCCCACGTATTTTCACTCTGATAACATGAAAAGCCAGATCTACCTTTTCCTAATTGCAAACCTACACGGGACTTGTGATTACAGTTTATCATGGAAAGAATGTGCTACTTCCTGTGTCATTTCCCACTGAGCTGGTGTATCTTATTTGCATTCTGAGGTCTGTAAGACTATGTTACTGTAAGACACGATACCCTGAGTCAGCCTTGAAAAGAAAGACTCCTCAGACCACGGCTTAATACCACTCAAGTTGCAGAGTCTGTAAGAAAGCCTGGCTAAAGTAAAGACTGCCGTCCTCCTGGGAGTCCTCATGTGGCTGAGCAGCAAAACACTGACAAATTTCTATTCCCCAGGATACACGTTGAGGCTAAGAGCCTGTCCCACTGTTTCTTCTGCCATCCCATGTCATCAGTGACTCTACTCAAGGACAATGAGAATCCGCTGGTTATCAGCCACGTATGGTCCAGCTAACATGCACTCTGTTCCATGCAGAGAGCTCATGTGTTGCTGAGACCCGGCAGTGGAACAGATAGCTCCAAGACCCGCGGGAAAGCTCACCACATAGAGCTTGCGCCAGATGACGGCCCATTCTCGCAGCGTCGACGTGAGCTCCTGGACCAGCGGGAGCTCCCCAGGAATCACAGTCTCATGCTGCCTACGGAGAACCAGAGAGATGCTCGTGTTACTCTGGGCTGACCATCCCTGCTTTTCTTGACAGGGGTTCATATTCCCCACAGGGCAAAGACAGGCATGGGGTGGTCCAGCTGGAAAGACAACGAATCTGTTGTGGGAAAATTTGTTGAGCGGACCTTATTACACCTAAGCCTCTGAGAAAAGAAGGGGCTTACTGATCCAGCTCTCAAAATAAACCACTTCTGCGAGGGAACAAAGCCATCAGCCCAGCTGGGACCACCCCAGTTGGTATCTTGACAGGAGCAATTGCTGAGCCTGGCTGGCTTCCGTGACTCCCGGAATGGAGGCCCAAACCCAGTATTTTCGCTGGTTCTGCCATGTGGCCATTTCGTTAGGGAGGGTGGGTGGAAAAGTGTGCAAGGCACGAGGGTCCTGAGGCTGGGCATCTCACACAGGACCTGCTGGTGGGGACAAGGCTCTGCCCTCTGATGGAATGGGGCTCGATTTTCTTCTCACCTGCTGCCTCACTGCACTGAAAACGTGTTCTCTACCATACTCCTCATGGGCTCACAGGAGACTCAGAACAAGGCAGGGCCGACATTTATTCCCATCAGTCCTCTGGTATTTTCATGATGAATAAAAGGTGAGGGCAAGCAAACAAATGGGAAAGAGAGGTAGGACTGCCAGACTTAAATAAGGCTACCGGATGCCCAGTTAAGTCTGCATTTCAGATGGCCTGAAATAACTTCTTTTTTTGTTTGTTTTGAAATAACTTCTCAGTAGAAGTATGACTCATGAAATACCTGGGACATACTAACCATAAAAAATTGCTTGTTGTTATCTGGATTTCAAATGTAGCTGAGCACCTTGCCTTCTTCTCTGACAACCCTAGTTAGTGGGCATACGCCTTCCTACATGCCCTTCTTCCAACATGGCTGCGGCTAGTGATGGCGGAGGCTGCCCGGGAAACGGCCCGCTGGAAAAAAGCTTCTCCAGGTGGCCAGGACACCTGGTTTCCAGTCTTGGTTCTGCCACTGAAGAGCTGGGTGAATCTGGGCCTGTCTCCACCCCTCATCTATAAAATTCAGGTGTAGAACTTACACCTGAAAATGTTCTTTTGCCTCTTTGAGTCTGCGAGACTCTGATCCATTCTCCTCTCTAGCAACCCTGGCATTCCAGTCCTGCTCTGGGCTTTCCTTCCCTCCTCTGTCCCGGGGGATCACCAACCCAGCAGCCTCTCTCTCCCACCTCAGGCTGAGTGTCTTACTCCTCCTCAGTCTCCACAGAGGCAGTCACTGTCCAGGACAACCGGTAAGGTGGGTAAGAAAATAGAATATCCAAAACCTAATGGATTTCATCTGCAGAGCACGTTCACACACATAATTTCATCATTCCACATTAAGCTCTCGACCAGCGCACGGCCAGATTTATGTCCTCCAATTTGTATGGGCAAAGCCCAAGGGGCAATAAGGCTAACGGACTTGTCTAAGCTCCAGAGCTGATCACTGCCGGAGGCAGCTTGCTCCTCTCTCTCCCACAGTTGCCAAACTGGGGGCCCTTGGAAATCCTAGCAGCGAAAGGGTGCCCAATGTTTGTGTGTGTGTGCACACAAACTCAGTGAGCACAGTGCAGGAGGAAGGCAGGGGGCCTCCGTTCGTTCACTGCCTGTCTTTACTATCCTGGGGAAGGATGCCAGAGAGGAGCGATTATGAAAGAAGGAATCATCTCAGGAATAAAGCTCGTATTCACGTCTCTCTCCTTGTGAGAAGGGCAACTGATGAGATGAGAGCAGTAACGCACACGAGAAACTCTTTAATGATCATTTCACACATCCACCACTTTTAGGGGTCTTCCCGGGACGGGAACTTACCCTCGGTCTTCCACGGTTGCCTCCTTCAAATGGATGTAAGTTTCAGGGAAGATCCCCTACAGAGAGAAGAACATCGGTTATATGGCTGTAAAAACCTCAGGGTAAGGAGCACACACGGCACCGGGAATGAGTGAGGAGACAGGATACTTGGGCCATCACCAGAGTGTGCGGTCAGGCTCTAGGGCCCGACCACACTGACTGCACCTCCCTGAAAGCATGGCTGGAAAGATAGAAATGAAGATCGGGGTTCACAGAGCATGGGAGAAGTGCTTTGGAAGGGGGCAAACATGTCCTGACCAACTCAGGGCTGCAGTAACGGTAAGGGGTTCGACAGCCAGCAACTAGACCCTTCCAGATCCTAATGCCATGAACTGCTGCCCTGAAAGGGTTTCTCATAATTAGTGACCCGAACGTCTGTGTACCTAGTGGCCCATGAAATTACAGTGATTTTCCGAAACAATCCCTTCTCACCGCTTTCACTTAAGCCAAATGCGCCCCCAAATCAATTGGTACTAGTTATCTGGTTATTTTTAGCACTTGCCAGTCTCAAATTGCTCCCCAGTCTATGTTCTTAAGAGGCCATTCTACATCACTGTTGCGATGTTGCGCGTGGGGAAACTAAGGCCCATGAGGGCCTAAGAGAAAGCCTGGAAACTGGGTCAGTAGAAACTGAAGAAGTGAGGATCAGATTACAGAAAGCAAGTCATGGATCTGAGTTTTCCTGATGCCAATGGCTTCTGTTGTTTACCTGTGTGATACCCTCATGGATAAATGGAGGCAACGCCATGGGAAAAGGCACTGCTGTTCTTTTAGGGTACGCTGCATGCCAGACCAGCAGAGGGAGGAGAAGAGCCTATTTACCGGGTACCACTGGTTTGACTGCTCCTAGCCCTGCACCTGCGGAGGTCAGTGCGACCCTGCGCGCATTCTCTGTTGGGGGACTGACCACAAAGATGGGAAAGGAAGACCTTCCTACGTGGGGGCTGAGTCAAAGATGTGTGTGTACGCAGTGATCCTTAATCTGTCCAGAGACAGAAAACTATTTCACTGCTACTGGCGTCAGTCTTGTGTCCGGCTTCATGTGCTCTATTTATCTAATACTCTTCTTTCTCCATCTTAGCCCTTTGCCAATAAAACAGGAAACAGAAAGAAAATCTGAGACTGAGCTGTTCCCAGCCTTGGTGATGACAGGTAACATCTTGTCACTGCTTGAGTCGAAAGCAAAATGACTGTCCTTTCCAGCCAGGCAGGAAACCCCGCCCCCCGCGCCCAAAAAAGTACATTACCTTCCCCTCTTCACTTTGAGAAAGGGGTATGCATGTGGTGTGTAAGTAAGAAAGTACTATGCTGATCTGTTACTGATAAGACCCAGAATACACAGAGAGGCAAGATGACACTGACCTTTTTCATTACAGGGGCAGGATTCAAAGTGATTTTGGAAAACTGATCAAACAGTTAAACAAAAATTCAAATGTAGGTGTAATTCCTGTGGGGCCTAATTTCTGATGTTCTGAAGCTCCAGATCTGTGCTTAGGGTGTCTAAGGAACTTTGGGTGTTTCTTCTGTCCATCTGGAGGTAAATGTCTTATTGACTGCCATCCTGGTGGAGAACCAGACTTGCTCGTCCAGAACTCACCTTGAGGATATGATGCTAAGTGAAGTAATCCAGACACAAAAGGACAAATACTGTTACGACTCCACTTGTAGGAGGGATCTAGAGTGGTTAAATCCACAGAGACAGAAAGTAGAATGGGCGTGGCCAGGGATGGGGTTGGGAAGAAATGGGGAGTGGACACTTGGTAAATGATGAGCCACTTAAAGCAGTAGCTCTAAGAAGCCACACTTGGAGGTTAAAATAAGAGGTAACACTGCTTATCCCAGGGAATATCCTTGCAGAAAACTTTTCTCATCAAGAAGGTAAAGGACGAATTAAAATTTTTGTGCATTTTTAATCTGATTACTAGTCTCTTAATAATTGGGAGAAATCCAAGATAGAAGCATTTGTAACACCCAAGCAGGTAATTTATACTGAATGTACAGACATAAGGACTTTCATCTTAAGAGAGTATTTATTTTGTTCCATTACCTCCCTGTTATTTGCAGGCCCCATCCTTCCATGACAACATATGTCCACTTACATCCATTTAACTGCTCTAGTAAATCTGAGCCTTGGAGAAGTTTTCCTTCCTTCTTCCCATCTGACACACAGAAAGGCAGGAAAAACCTGGGGGATAGATTACTAATTTATAGCCTATCTCAATTTTGATTCTCCTTTCTCAATGCAACCTACTCACTTGAGGAAAAAAAAATATCTAACCACTTTCTAGATACTGCCGTTATCCACACTTCCACAATCCTGCCAGAATCAATAATCAGTTTCTGCAAAGCTCTGAGCTTCTTCAATTCCTAAAACCACTAGTGCATTTTATCACCACTCTAAATGACTAGGTCTGCTGATAAATGACACCAAAAATTTCCATTAAAATAATAGGCCTTTCAAATAGCTCCTCCCCCAAAGACCAGGCAAATGCAGGAAAAAACAGCATTAGGAGAGGATTTCAAACAGGCTGGATCTCTTAATGAAAGGGTGTCGAAGCTGAACATAATTCATGACGACTGAATCTAAATTCCCTTGATGCTTCCTGATACTCTCCACCAGGAAGACATTTCAACTTAAAAATCAACAAGTAAAAGCAACATCCTTGTTAGTACTATCATTTCATTGAATTACAAAGTTGAATTATCAAGAACTATATCAAGAACTAAAAGAAGTTCTTCCTGAAATAATTCTTCTTAAGGGTGAGATTTCAAGTTTAAGTAAGGGTTTTAAGGAAATGAAAACAAACAAAACTAAAAACACACTCGGGGAGCATGCTATTTCCTTTTCAAAGCCAACAACAAGGGTATGAGCTGGATAGATTCTGATCTATTAGGACATCACAGGATGCCTTAGAAACCGAGGTCTATGTGCAAAAAGAATCCTTACATACTGTAGCTCTCTGAAAGGGAAAAGTGTGGCCAGGGACCTTGCTTCAACATGATTCACAATCACCAGTTAAAAATCAGGAATTGTGTTTGTTCTTTAAGTTCATGTGATCTTACCTGAGAATGGGGTTTTGTTCATTTTTTTTAAGTTGACTTTTTTTTTTTTTTTTAAGCAGACTCGGAAATGGAATAAGTCTTCTTGCTCTTTAATAAATTCAGAACTTCTAAATGGTTAGCTCCAATCATGCTTCAAAATAACTTATCATTTCTATAATTATGAGTAAAATAAACAAAGGTAGGGCTAACCAAACTATGAAGCAGGAGTATCTATAAACCACGGACAAGGATCCTAAAATAAAGAAAGGCTTTTGTCTCACTACGCTCTTATTCACGCCAGAATGTCCTTGTCCTCGGACACTATTTGAAGGCCTGGAGAAATTGAAGTCAGCAAGAGATTAAATCAAAGTAGTTAAGTTGGAAATGAAAACAGGTGAAAAAATGTAGGAATTGAACCATGGGCAGAAAAATTCAGCATCAGGATTTGGGGAGGGATAAAAGACCAAACTGTGGGAGTTGATACTCACGTGACAAGCAAACACTCCTTTATTTTGGTAGATTTTCAAACTGTAAACGTTAACAAGCTGCATGTGTGGACATGTAAATGTGCAAAATAGTGGCTCCAGATCCAAATATATAGAAAACTTGATCCAAACAACGCTGATTTCTAATGACTACAACCTTGTAGAAAGGGGTTTCTCTGGGCCCTGAGCTCTTTCAAGAGTTGTGTGCTCAGATTACTTGTATCTCATGCCATGCTTGAAAATTAAGAACTGTGGGTTTTGTTGTGTGTGTGTGTGTTTTTCACTCACTTCTTGATAAATTCTAAAATGCTTCTCTTACCCCTCTCCTAATTAGCTATTTTGCATGTGAACTAACTGTGAAAAGTGATGGTCCCATCAACCCCGTTTCTCTTTCAAACAAAGTGCTGACAGGCCTTGCTGCCCCAGAATGCAGCGTCAAAGGAAAAGGCCTGACCTGACCTAAAATTAACTGAGGGGGTATTAACGTAACTAACAGATTTTCTTTAGCTTGATGATGAGCAGTTTTGGCACGGGGTAGAGGAACCTGCTAGGGTCAGTTATTTTTCAAACTCTCTGCCCATGACAAGATACATTTTCATGGCAACCGAGTCCTTAACTATGCATAAAATGTAATTTAAATACATTAAAAAATACGCACCTCACACAAAAGTTTCATGAGACAGTATTTTTCACGGCATTCCATTTTCTACTTTCTTTTCTACTTTTCGGAGTTTCAGTTTTTGGAAGATGGTGATTAACCATAACCCCTGATGTTGATTTCATGATGTATTACTGGGATTGGCTATGAGGTTCAGTTTCAAAACTACTACTCTGGCTTATCATTTTATAACAAAGGATGGACTCCAGTAGAAATGGGGAGATGCTTTAGTTCTGGGATGTTGGCACTGGGGAGCTAAAGAACCAAGCAGCAGCATGGGTTCCCCTAAAGGAGATAATCAACAATAACACTCTCATCGCATCACCACCCTGCTGAGCTCCAGGGGCAGGGAACAGCAAGCCTGCAAGTCCTGCGAGGGCCCTACCTGGGGAGTGAATTCAACTCTGGTCTTCCCCCTTAAGTTGGCTGGTAGGAAATGTGGTCCACGGGACTTGTGCGATTTTACACACATTGAGGTCAGAGAATTTGTTTTCAGATCTAAACAACAGCCATCCCACAGAACACAAACCAGGTCTAGAGGCAGCAAGGAGCAGAAAATGGGCCCAGGTAGCATAACACAAAGCTAGCAGGCAAAGTAAATGAGAAACCATACCTTTTTAGATTTATTCTGGAGGGTATATCCTCTGTACCAACCTGCCGGGGAATAAGAAAACACAATCTTTTATGTTATCTGAGATAATATAAAGATAGGAGCAAAATGCATCCTCTTACTCTACTGGAATGCTGGGACGGAATCCAAGAGGCAATTAGCAGACTAATTAGAATACGTATATTTTGGTTGAGTACACAATTGAAATCTAGATCTATTTTGGAGCTTAGTTCTCCTCTTAGGTAAAGGATTTAAAATTCACACAGAACCACGTTTCATCTCTGCTCCTTTGGAGAAAGGACAGAACAAACAAACAAACAAACTAGACAGAAGGCAGCTCAATCTCTTAATATTTTAATACCTTAGATATTCAGTAAACGTTTTTGCATGAATGAAGAAGGTCTTTCATCCATATATATACATTCTACAAATCACCCTATACTATGAAAATAAATACTTTAAAATAATTTATAGTCTCTCTCTTATCTAAATTCTCAGGTAAGGAACCACTCTTCTGGAAGAATTTTAAACTGGAATGGCAAATCTTACATACATAAATATTTGTACCTAAAAGAGTTGAAATAAACAAATAATAAAAGAATATTTAAAACAATTCTTGGCAATGCTATTCACATCCCTGACAATAAAAAAAAAATTTGTTGGCTTGATGAGGCTTTAAAAATAGCCTTCAACTTCCACAGGCACCTGGATGGCTCAGTCAGTTGAGCAACTGCCTTTGGCCCAGGTCATGGTCCCGGGGTCCTGGGACTGAGTCCCACATCGGGCTCCCTGCTCAAGCAGGGGGCCTGCTTCTACCTCTGCCTCTCTGTCTCTCATGAATAAATGAATAAAATCTTTTTTTTTTTAAAGATTTTATTTATTTATTTGACAGATAGAGATCACAAGTAGGCAGAAAGGCAGGCAGAGAGAGAGAGGAGGAAGCAGGCTCCCTGCCGAGCAGAGAGTCCGATATGGGGCTCGATCCCAGGACCCTGGGATCATGACCTGAGCCGAAGGCAGAGGCTTTAACCCACTGAGCCACCCAGGCGCCCCTAAATGAATAAAATCTTTAAAAAAAAAAAAAAGTCTTCAATTTCTTTATAAAAATTTCAATAAATACACATACACCTATGGATGCTTTTCCACCCTCTATCTGGTAAAGGGAGTATACAATTTAATCAATCTATAAACAGATAACTTATATTAAGCATTTATTGATCACCTATTAGAAAATTAAGGCATCTGCCAATAGGGTTCTAGAACCGTCCTGTAATTTGTTCTACATGAAATCATCCAGAAAAAAAAACACATAACCTATTCTGGATATGTTACAAGAAGAAGAAAGTTGAATTTACCTTGAACAGAAATTTAAGAATACTTTCACAAATTTTTAAACTGTCAGTATTCAAAATTTAAAGAATTTTGCTATTTCCTTTTTCTTAAGTATCAGGAAAGAATAGGACACTATGCTGTAAAATCACTGCAGGTTTTTATCAAGGCCCATGGCTGAGAAAAAGCTATTTGAACAGGAAACATTGCTCCCAATTTCAGATGCCAAAGTGCAGGAGAGAGTCAGGTGTAAGAAGAACACCAAGCAAGACGTGGCTGGCAAGTTCAGCTGCCCCTGGGAAGTGCCTTTGCTTGAATGACTGGCTTCAGGCTCCTCCTGGGGTGGAGGAGGGGCAGGCAAGCTGAGAAACAATGGTCTTTTCCAAGCAGTTTCCATCTCCCTGTGTCCTACAAAACCAAGATGTAACAGTTTGGACTTTGCTCCACTGTCAGAGAAAAATGTCTCTGTACTTGCATAAACAGTATTTTTGCGCAGCCATTCATCACAGAATTATGCCTCCGAAACCTGTCATTTTTGAAAAAAAAAAAAAAAAATTTTTTTTCTTTACCTCCTAAGTCTCCTCCAAATTGTGGTTTGTGTAAAACCCATATCTAAAGGCATAAAATTAGCACACTGAGTCTCTAAAACGTTCATCTTGCTTGGCATTAGGTACTAGCAGAAGAGTGTCTATCTCTGGAGTTTCAGTCATATACTCTTGGGACCCCATAAATTCAATTGCTAATAACTGCAAGGGATTCGAGCAAAAACACGGTGTTCCAAATGATCCCAATATTTAAAACAGGATCATTACAGTTAAATATGGTATGCTTTTAAGGCTTCCAAATGCATCACGATGCAAAGAGATAGCGAAGGCTCTATCAAACAAGCAACTACAATCAGTAAGTAGTGTGAGCTGGGGGGAATCTCGGCTGCTTTTTAAAATTAGTACATTATTGAAGTAAAGAAAACAGTGGGGATGGTGAGTGCAGAGGGCCAGTCTTGCCTAGATTTAGGTGAAACGTCAGTCTCAATGAGTGAGTTTGTAAGACCACAGATTCACAGAACAGACTGGTGGTTGCCAGAGGCAGGGGGTGGAGGTGAGGGCAAAATGGGTGAAAGGGAATCAAAAGGTACAAACTTCTAGTTATAAAATAATGACGTCACAGGGATGTCATGTACACCATGGCAACCACAGATAATAATACTGTTGCATATATTTGAAAGTTGCTAAGAGAGTAATTCTTAAAACTGCACACTACAAGGAAAAAGAATTTTGTAACTATTTAAGCTAATGTGTGTTAACTAGACTTATTGTGATGAACATTTTGCAATAAACACAAATATCCAATCACTGGGATGCCTGGGTGGCCCAATCCGTTGGTTAAGCATCTGTTTTCAGCTCAGGTCAAGATCTCAGGGCCCTGGGATCCAGCCCCCCCACCCCCATCCCAAATGCAAATATTCAAGGGCATTCAGATCTCAGGTTTAAGCAAATGGATGGCCAGAATTAACTCATCGGGATAGGAAGACTGAAAAAAGCAAAGCACTGGGGGATGGAAGACAGAATTGGGGGATGGAAGACAGAATCCAGAGCTGTGTCTTGGCTCATCTCCTTCCCTTCCTGAACAACTGAGTCCTGAGCCCTTAGATGGGACACAGCAACTAAGGCATTTGCAAAGGTGGTGGGGAGGGCATCCACACAGGGGGCCAGACTGGCATGGTGTGTCAGAGCCAGGCAGAACTAAGGTGGGCATCCATGGGAGATGGGGGCTCCACAGGAAAAGGGTGAAGAGAAGGTCATCCACAACCACGACCTAGGGGCGGGGGACGGTGGGATGACCTGAGCTATCAGAGAGAGAACAGGCTGAGGAGGGTGTCCATGTGGGAGGAGGTGTGGTCATGAAGACAGAGACTGGTTACATGCTGAGGACCTGATGAAATAAGTAAATATATTAATCCTGGAAGCCAGGTTTCTTACTGTCACAGGACAGCGTTTTAAGAAAGGGAAAGATGCTGGACTGGATTTGAAGGTCCCCATGTGCACACATGACTCCTAAAACAGGCAGACTGGTCAAAATGAATTGTGTGTTAACCCATACTTATACACACGTGCACATTATCCTTGGCTCTGCTGATACCTACTGGTTTTTACTGTTTTTGACCCGGAGACAGATGATGCTGGAGAGCTCAGAAAAGCAGCTATGTAAGTGTCCGGAGAGTGACCAGTCCCAGATGGAATAGGAGGGCAGAGGACTCCACGAAGAAAGCAAGTGGAACTGTGAAATTACCTCCTTTGTCTGAACATATGAGAAGGAGGTAAACATTTCTGTCAGAAAGTCTGGACATGAAAAAGAAGTAAATCCACAGAGAATGAAGAAAAGAAGAATGAACAGCTCTAGAAAAACATTATTCAAGACAGAAAATAGAATGAAGGTACGTTCCACAGCATCTGCTGCTTCTACTACATAGACTCAGTAATCTAAATAATACTTCTAAAAAATAATAATGTATTTATAGTGGGAGGTCTCTACCAGATACAGCCAGGTGTATGTGTGGCTGGTCGGAATTATAAGAGAGCTAAATCCTTACCTTCCCTAAGAAGCAGTTAATAAATGAAAATGGAAATATCAAGTAATAGAAGCACGATTTTTTAAGATTATATTTATTTGAGAGAGAGAGCATGAGAGGGGCGAGGGGCAGAGGGAGAAGCCAACTCCTTGCTGAGAAGAGGGCCCGATGTGGGACTTGATCCTGGGACTCCAGGATCAGACCTGAGCCGAAGGCAGTTGCTTAACCAACGGAGTCACCCAGGTGCCCTAGAAGCATGATTCCTTAGAAATGAAAAAGCATGTACCACAACCAAGGGCTGAAAGAGCTGAAAGTAGAATCAGAAACCCAGAGGAGGTGGGAAGAGACTGCTGTTTATCATTATCAACTTGATAGAAATGACTTGACCTTTAAGGTTATATGCAATGATATGCATATAATGATAACTCTGAAAATTAAGACAAAAAATACAGCTAATAAGTCCTGGTAAGCCAGGACCAAAAAAGTCAAAATTAAAGGGAAAGAAAACAGATCAAGGCTGAGGTTGGTGTGAGGCTGATACAGGGGATAGGGGAGAATCTGGGGCTTTTGACAAAATCATTCTCTACCTTGTGGTGGCATTTCATGTTTGCGTGCATTAGTCAAAATCTGTATGCTAAATAGGGTGAATTCAACTCAATGTAAATAATATTCGTTTTCTGGATGAGATATACTCTACAACCACTCGAATGGCTAAAGGTAAAATGACGGACTCTGCCAAGAGGTGGTACGGACATGGGCAATTAGAATTCTCTCACATTGCGGGTAGTTTCACATAAGATCAAACATACATGCACCATATGTTAACTAGCAAAATTTAAAAAGCAAAACAAAACCACCACAAAAACATACATATGACCTATGACCTAGCAAAACCCCATTTTTTTTTTTTTTTAAAGATTTTATTTATTTATTTGACAGACAGAGATCACAAGTAGACAGAGAGGCAGGCAGAGAGAGAGAGAGGGAAGCAGGCTCCCTGCTGAGCAGAGAGCCCGATGCGGGACCCGATCCCAGGACCCTGAGATCATGACCTGAGCCGAAGGCAGCTGCTTAACCCACTGAGCCACCCAGGCGCCCGCAAAACCCCATTTCTAAGTATGCACCCAAGATCTATAAAAAGCTGGT